TTACATTCTTTTATGCACAACTTAACAAGATTGACAACAATATCAGCAGAAAGAGGTAAAACATGATTCAATAATTCATGAGCAAGGTAATCAAGAATATCATCAATCGGTAACTTTGTAAACAAGGAACAAACGTCAAAACTGATTAACTTGACATCAGGAGTGATTGGAACACTATTAAATTTATTAACTAATTCAATAGAATTGGTTAAATGAGAAGAGGAAATAGTTCCTAACAATGGGGACAAGATTTTGGTAAGCCATTTAGAAAGCTTGTGAGAAATGGATCCCACAGAACTGATGATAGGCCACAGCCATTATCTGCGGGGATAACGTTTCTATTAATAATATCTTTCAGGACACTTTCCTCTGATTTGTGAGCCGTCGAAAAGAAGTTCCTGTAAAACAGTCTAATAGGAGGTACAGAACTAACACAACACCTGTACCTCCTATTAGACTATTCAAGTTTCTCTTGCTTTAGTAAATGCGGGAAACGGAGGAGAGAGAAGCCTCGTCTCAAGACAATGTTTCACAGCGAGGACCAATAAATGTGTTTGATAAAGCTCCTACACCTACACTCACACATCTTCAATGAAGTCTTTTCCCTACACAGAGTGTTTCTTGTTCTATTGTGTTCATCGCTTCGTATTCTGTTCAGGTTACCTACCCTGGCTTTGCACCCTGGAGAGGCCACTCCAGACCAAACGAGCGCAACTCCATAATCTATACCGCTCACAGGAGACTGATGGATGCCTACTACTATTAGCTAGGCTGAACAGAATACGAAGCGATGAATACATTAGAACAAGAAACACTCTGTGTAGGGAAAAGACTTAATTGAAGATGTGAGTGTAGGTGTAGAAGCTTTGTCAAACATATTTGCTGGTCCTCGCTGGTGAAACATTGCCTTGAGACGAGGCTTCTCTCTCCTCCCTGTTTCAGGCGTTTACTAAAGTAAGAGAAACTAACACGCGCCAAATCTACCAGATAACCTTACTCTGCAAATTTGCAATCAAAGATTCCCTGGCCACAATTATAACTGTTGCCATCTATAGAATACAAAACAGTATAAATGACTATTATCAATCCTATAGTCGCGATGAATAATAATTTAACGTACGTCCCCTTAACCTTTCTAAAGACACTAATAATTAATTTTATCGGGGACAATTGCAGCCTGTGAATGTTTATGGTGCACAAAGTATCTATACCGTGTACCTTGTGCAGTACAGGGTGCACAATAATCTGTACCGCTCACAGGAGGAGTACAGGGTGCACAATAATTTATACCGCTCACAGGAGGAGTACAGGGTGCACAATAAACTACCGCTCACAGGAGGAGTACAGGGTGCACAATAATTTATACCGCTCACAGGAGGAGTACAGGGTGCACAATAAACTACCGCTCACAGGAGGAGTACAGGGTGCACAATAATTTATACCGCTCACAGGAGGAGTACAGGGTGCACAATAAACTACCGCTCACAGGAGGAGTACAGGGTGCACAATAAACTACCGCTCACAGGAGGAGTACAGGGTGCACAATAATTTATACCACTCACAGGAGGAGTACAGGGTGCACAATAATTTATACCACTCACAGGAGGAGTACAGGGTGCACAATAATTTATACCACTCACAGGAGGAGTACAGGGTGCACAATAATCTATACTGCTCACAGGAGGAAGGATTATGTTGTAAAGAAACTCTAGTAATTATCGAAAGATTTATTTTCTACAAAGTCCTTAGAATTTAACATTCATTTATATACAAGTATATTCAGATACTGACATTCAAAACGATTTGCCTTCTGAGCACAATCTTTTGATTACAGTGAGGTAATGTGTGTAGTGAACATGGTTACAGTGATGTGGAGAGTGTAGTGAACATGGTTACAGTGATGTAGTGTGAAGTGAACGGTAGACAGTAGAGCGACGGTCTCGCTTCATGCAGGTCGGCGTTCAATCTCCGACCGGCGCTTTTTGATGATATAGTTCCCTTCCCTCTCATGAGTAGTATGGGGTGCACAATAAACTGCCGCTCACAGGATGAGTATGGGGTGCACAATAAACTGGCGCTCACAGGATGAGTATGGGGTGCACAATAAACTGCCGCTCACAGGATGAGTATGGGGTGCACAATAAACTGCTGCTCACAGGATGAGTATGGAGTGCACAATAAACTGCCGCTCACAGAATGAGTATGGGGTGCACAATAAACTGCCGCTTACAGAATGAGTATGGGGTGCACAATAAACTGCCGCTCACAGGATGAGTATGGGGTGCACAATAAACTGCCGCTCACAGAATGAGTATGGGGTGCACAATAAACTGCCGCTCACAGAATGAGTATGGGGTGCACAATAAACTGCCGCTCACAGGATGAGTATGGGGTGCACAATAAACTGCCGCTCACAGGATGAGTATGGGGTGCACAATAAACTGCCGCTCACAGGATGAGTATGGGGTGCACAATAAACTGGCTGCCATTGGCAGCAGCGACTTCTCTCAGCAAAGTCAGTTACCCCTTCTGAACGCTCCCTTGCCCCCCCCAACCCTGCACACACCGGACTTCCCCATGACGGATCATGGGTCGAGGGAGGCGAGACATGGGTCGAGGGAGGCGAGACATGGGTCGAGGGAGGCGAGACATGGGTCGAGGGAAGCGAGACATGGGTCGAGGGAAGCGAGACATGGGTCGAGGGAGGCGAGACATGGGTCGAGGGATTTGCAGTCTGGAAGGTCGCAACATTTATTTGGAGCAACCTTTTGGGGACCGACCTGGGCACCGCCGGGTACCGGGCCGACCTGGGCACCGCCGGATACCTGGTAGACTTGGGCACCGCCGGATACCGGGCCGACCTGGGCACCGCTGGATACCGGGCCGACCTGGGCACCGCTGGATACCTGGTAGACTTGGGCACCGCCGGATACCGGGCCGACCTGGGCACCGCCGGATACCGGGCCGACCTGGGCACCGCCGGATACCGGGCCGACCTGGGCACCGCCGGATACCGGGCCGACCTGGGCACCGCCGGATACCGGGCCGACCTGGGCACCGCCGGATACCGGGCCGACCTGGGCACCGCCGGATACCGGGCCGACCTGGGCACCGCCGGATACTCGTCTAGTTAGAATAAAAGGGAAACGCAGAGAAAACAAAGGAGAACTGTTTATAATAATAACAATATTTACATGAAGGTAAAATGGACTAACACGCAAAGCGTTTCGGGCAGGCTGTTTAGTTTCTCAGTTTACACTTAGAAACTCCAGAACTAAAGAAACTATAGAGACACAGCCGAGTTATAAATATGTCAAAAAGTCCTTCATTATATTACACTAGACAAAATGTCAACATTTTATAAGTTGTTGAAGCTAACTGAAAACAGATATAGAAATAATTAAAAGGAGATACTGGAGTCATTGATCTAAGCTACAAAATATTTGAAAAGAGGGTCCTTTGAGCTGACACGCAACCCTATTAGCATGTGTGCAGGTGAACACATCTAGGTGAGTACAGCGCCGAACACTCCACACCAATTCCAATACCTACAAATGACTCACCTCTCACTATACACGTGACTCATCACCTCCACTGACTCATCTCTCAGGGTTACCATGCTCCCGGTGTAACATATTCTGAGCAAGAGCTCCAGCACCTGACCTTTGCACTGAGTGTCTCTTGAGGTCACGTTAGAGAACACATCAGCTGCCGGTCTCGAAAGTTCACAACGGTTTCTAAATTTTAGTCCATGCCAAAGACGCCCTTAGCTTACCATGTTGATGCATTTCATTCATTATATTACTGTAAAGTATATATGTGTGTGAGCCCCGGGCTTCTTGTCCCCGAAAAATGGGAAACTAAATACTTTGGTTACCGCTGTTTTATGTTGATACATAAAATCTCATTTTCTGTTGTGAGGGAGAGAAAAGTGTGGGTGGTGATGCAGCCGCCCGCCCTCTACTGAACCTAACTGTGGCCCCTTCTCTCTTAGCCTTACCTAGTCAAAGTGTATCAGTAGTATGCAAGATGCAGCCATTATACATCAGCTAGGTCACATATATGCGAAAAGCAAATATAAATACCCTTTATGCCCGAAGCGCTCCATGGGAGTGACTGCATATTTTTTTTTCAATATACAGTATATGTACAAGTTCTTACATTCTTGTACAGCCACTAGCAAGCATAGCGTTTCGGGCAAGTCCTTAATCTTAATTTTCACACACAAATCCCCAGGAAGCAATCCGTGGCAGCTATCTAACTCCCAGGTACCTATTTACTGCTAGGTGAACAGGAACATCAGGGTGAAAGAAACTCTGCCCATTTGTTTCCGTCTCCGTCGGGGATCGAACCCGGACCCTTAGGACAGCGAATCCCGAGCGCTGTCCACTCAGCCGTCAGGCTCCCAAGACGGCTCGGGGAAGGGTTTGTTGGTTTTACCTATGAATTTGTTGTTTACTTGTTTACCTGTGAATTTTCCGTATATACACTGAAAGATGTATCCAACTTCACGGTGTATATACATTGAGAGTTGACTCTAGTTGTGGACAATGTCCAGAACTAAAGTAAACTTGGTGGTTGGTCAGTAAGCAGGTGTGGTTGCCGCAGTCACCCTCCCGGGGAGGACAGCTGAGGTCCACCACCAAACCTTTCTATCGTGTATCAAATGTGCGTAATTTTTATATAAATAAACAATACTCTTATTATTTTCAAGCCCCTAATTTACGATATTTATGGTAGTCTTGTTAGGAGAAATTAGGTTAGCAAAATGTTTGGTTAGGATGGATTAGGTAAGTTTTGACAGCACGAGTTTGGTCTTAATTCTTAATTCAGGTAATTGTAGGCCTGCATAGGGGTTCAGTGACTAGTAATGTTATGATTACATATTGAAGGATTTATTATAGGATTTTTGTTGTCAATAAATGATTATTTTGAGAGAATTATATATAGATGCCACTCCTACGAGCTGTCAAAGAAAACACTTTAGTTTCCCATTTTCTGTTACAGCGGACATTCCTTTCTCCTCCCTCTTGTTCATTTGTAAGTGTTCACTCAGCCAGGGCGGAAGTTCTCGCCATTTTGACTAGACGACCTTTACGCTCCCGGATATTCCCAGCCTAGTCAAGATCCGTTATCCCTGGTGCACACCTGCAGGTGAGTGCGTGTGGCTGGTGTGGCCTCCCCAGCAGTCAAACACGGGAGGAGGAAGCCCTCTGGAGCCCCCTTCTGCAGGATGGTTTATGCGTAGGATTTGTTTACGATGTGTGTCAAGGTTCCCCCGAGGTGTTCCCCCAGTGGGTGCCGGGGGTGCCCACCCTGGTGCCGGGGTGGAGGAGGGGAGTCATTATCCAGCCCTTGGAGGGAGTGGCCTGATGGGGGTCAACAAAGGGTCACTGGGTTCTAGGTGATCAGCTGATTGGTGATTGTGAGTGGCAGCGAGGCACCGAAGTGGCACCCCTGGCACCCCGTGGCACCCCCCGGCGCCTCTCACCTGTGGCAGGCAAGGGTGGTGGTTTATACGCCGGCGGCCACCCGGGAGGTTCTTATCAGCTGTCACACTTGTGGGTGACCTTGCTGGTAAAGTTCTCGCATCCGGGAGACGTAGCTGTCAAATATTGACCTTATGTGTGGCCTGCTTCAGGTATGGTGCCTTGCTGCTCCCCCCCCCCCAGGGTACAGAGCACCTGCATGACCTTACGGGATTGACTAATATATTAATGAAGCATTGTTTATAGCCAAGCATCTTGCTGGAAGTCATGTTATTCACTCCCATTTGGAGCTCTATGTACTTGACAGGGGCAACACTGATGAGTTGTGCATTACATACATTTGTGTAATTTGGCCATAGTGATGTGCACATAACTGTCAGGTTAAGTACTAGTGGGTATGCCCAGTTACTGGATAGGTGAGTATTTGCATAATTTTACCTTACTTGGAGGGGCTCTTCATATAGGCCTGCTAGGCTTTTTATTTCCTGCAATAATAATCCAATATTTTAGGCTTTGTCATTTATTTTCCAATTTGCTTCCAAACCTAAATCATGCTAATGAAATTGTCCAAATAAATTTCAATTTTTACTAACTAAATATAACTCAAGAAATTTAAGATAAGCTTATAGTGGTTAACTGGAATTTAAAGTTATGAAAAATTGTCTCACCACTCTAATGTATTATCTCCAAAATTACATGGAAAAAGTAAATTTGTTGCACAAAAAAGTAAATTTAATTAATATTTGACCTTCTAAACTCTAGACTAGTGTAAATGTACTATTTTCTGGTATTTTTTTTGTATATACATATATACAGTACAAGAGTTCTTACATCCTTGTACAGCCACTAGTACGCGTAGCATTTCGGGCAAGTCCTTAATCCTATGTTCCCCGGAATACGACCCGCCAATTCATTTAACAACCAGGTACCCATTTTACTGTTAGATAAACAGAGGCTACAGTTAACGATTGACGCCCAGTAAATCCTCCCCGGCTAGGATACAAACCCAGGACAAAGCGCTAGCGAAACACCAGGCGAGTGTCTTATGGTATATGGAGATCTAATCCGGATAATTAAGATTAGAGCAAACATAACTAGATTAGTGTTTTGTCAATGGCAAATTTTGGATAATGGACTCTGCTGTAATGCTGTAGAACAAATTGTGAGACTTGGGATTCATAGTTAGTAGTGACCCGAGGCCAAGACAATAATGCATCACTGCATGAAGTAAAATAAACAGGGTGCTGGAATTATAATAAAAGCAACAGAAACATAAATTTTATCCTCCAGCCATATCTACATTTGGACTGCTGTGCAATTCTAGCAACCCGTTCTCGCACTTTCTTACAGTCAATATTGACTTATTAAATACGTGCATAGGTGACATACTAAACATACTAGTTTACCTTGAAAAGCTTCATAGAAAACACTGACCTTACCTAACCTTCTTAGTATGTTAAGATAAGTATCTTATTGCTTCGTAATTACAATTATTACTTAACCTATTATAGGTATAGGTTATACCTATTATAGGTATAGGTCCTATATCCTATAGGATATAGGACCAAACCTATATCCAGCTTGGAGTGACTCTGTGTACATGCGGCTCAGGCTTGGGTACAAATATTACTGGGAATATGGGATAGATGTTCATGATAATGACACGAAGTGTAAACTATGTGGTATGTTAAGGTCTCACACCCTGGCCCATTATGTTCTTGATTGTCCGTTGATTAATGTATATAGAAACACTGAGATAAGGACTGTTCCTGAACAAATAGCCTGGATGTGTCACAACGGAAAGGTTGATGATATTCTTGAGAGATATAAAAATTTTGCACCAAGATTGTAATATTTTGTTGAATTATCTGCAGGTGTCTTGCAAATTGTCTATACAGTATACCTAGGTCATAAAAGTATTTGTGTGTACGTCTGATGCCATACTACTTGTGAAGGAGGAAATGTATATGTTTACCTCTCAGAATGTTTGGTAATGTTTATTGTTTGCGATGTGTGTCTATGTATATATTAACACGTTGTACTGAATGGGGTGAGAATAGCTTGAGCTACCTCATCCCTTTGTGTGTAGTTTACCTTAATAAACTTATTTCAATTTCAATTTGCTCTTTTGTAATGCTAACCGATTGCTATTTTTTAATGCTGAACCCAGGCTCTATGTAATGCTATACCCTGGCTCTTTTGTAATGTTGTACACAGCTCAGTTGTGGTACTATTGTGGCACTCTTGTAATACTGGTACCATAACTAGGTGTCTGTTCATGAAATTAGAAATATACGTTATGACTGGTGGAGGTTTCAAAATGATTTGAAGCCTTTAGAACTGCTTATGTAGTAAAAGACTAATAATTAAACCATTGAAAAAGGTCCAAAATTACTGCAGTATTAATGTACTGAACTGTAATTTCTATTCTTGTTGATTCTTTGGTGATAAATATGAAATGTATGATTAAATATGCCAAGAATGGTTGTGCACTGCTGTTTCTTGGGAGGGGAAGTCAAGCATTGAAAGCTGCACCAGTTCATTTTTGGGTTAATCCAATTGGTTGCACTTTTGAGGCTTGAAGAAATAGGATGAACTTGCTATGGGTTAATGCTGACAGGACAAGCTTTTATGTGCGATGAGAAAATAGCTTTTATCCATCCCTTCCCAATGCCCCAAAGCTAGTGATTTCTTAATTGTTAGTTTTCTTTTGATAAGTACTTAATTGTTAGTCAGTAAAGCAGACTTAAGCTAGGCCTAGTCTAGTAATAGCGTAAATGAGCTCATATTTTCATACAAAATCATGTGTAAAAAGCAAACTTTGAAAAAATACAGTATTGTAATCGGCTAAAGAACATAAATGGCATTATTAGGATAAGAGTTTTTGAACAATGTCAGATTACAGGTACAGTATACATAAACCTGAAATTACATATTGCTTGTCCTCCACAGAGTTTGGTGTAGACATGCTACACTGTATAGGTGCATATTTTTTTTTTTTTTTTTTTTTTTTTTGTAGATTTTGTGGGAAAAATGCTATTTAGTTTCAAAGGTACAGTTTTATATTGAGCAGTAGGCCAAATCATTCAGCAATTTCTATTGACTTTTCTTGCATAGTTTCTTTTTCTATTTGATTTTGATTCAAAATGCTCTTTGTTGATGTAGTGCTTAGTGCAGTGTAATTTATTTACTTTGTCTTGACTAACTGAGCTGTGCTTTAAAAGAACAATTTTTTTGAGACTCATACACTCCGCCTGGCACTAACAAGCATTTTAGCTGAATTTCCCTGAGGGCCACCATCTTTAGAAACCTCATCAGAGTTAAAGATCCTCACATTTTTATGAGGATCTTTTTTCGTTGGTTTTGAACTGGAGTAATGGTACTGTCATGGCATTTACAATTTTGGTGGGTAGTTGCTTCTGTGGGTTTATTAACCTGTGCATGAAAAAGCTTCCTTTATATGCCCTACATTATGTCTTGAGCTGGTAAAGGCTGTTACCCTTTGTGGTAGTTGCATTGGATCTCATATAGTAGGGCTATATAGTTATATTGGCTTAGCATTTTCTTCTCATAAGTTATACCATTTACGAAAGGGGTCTAGATTAAAGTATTGCAATTTATTCAGTATTTTAAAGGTCTTAAGATTAGCCCTACCATGCTTTGTTTTTAATGATATTGATCCAGAGATCCTTAATATTTCCTGGCCTAAAAGTTAACTTAGTTTTGGAAAGATTTTTGTGTATGCACTGAACATTTTTGGAGGTTACTCTATATACTTTCATCTTTGAGGTCTCCATGTTTGGATACAGTGTGCAGCAGAGATTTACACAGCTGAATAACCACTTTCTTATCCTTGAAGTCATAAGTACATTTGATTATTCCTAAGGTTTATTTGACTCTTTACTATGCTCCTTTCATATGGCCACAATACCCCCCACCCTCCCCAAACTGCCACTCAAACTTAAGTAATCTCACCATAAATCATGTGTCCACTCACTTGCCCATTTAAATTCTGTGATTAGTGCAATTGGCTTGTAACCGATTGGAGCCGAGTTTGAGTCCAGATAGGGCGAGATGTTTGGGCATGTTTCTTTACACCCAATGCGTCTGTTCACCTAGTAGCAATTAAATGCTCAAGAATTTTGAAACTGTAGTGAGTTGCATACTGGGAAGGTGAGTCATTGACCCAGAGGGACCTTGATAATCCGGTTGGCCTCCTGTCCCCAAAATGGGAAACCATTCCCCGACCCCACCTTGCAGTGAACTAATACTGTAGCTCCCACACACAGTAAATCACCTCAATCACACCCACCAGTAATATGCCTACCTATATGCTCATTCCTCCCGATTACTCTTAAAAATACCCACACCTCTCCCTACACCCAGTCACCACACTACCACCATTTGTATTACTGCCACACTACCATATATCTGTACTACTCACAGTACTACCATATGCCTCCATTCCCACCTCTAACCAAATCTCAGATTACTTACCCCATCACAACTACTGTACCTACTAATACCCACCCACCTTCATTTTCTTCACTTCTCTGTAGTCCTGTTTTTTATATGGCAGTGGTTTATAGTTAAAGATTCAAAAGAATTTATTTGTGCATTTAAATATAGTACACTGTATTATAGCAAGAAGAGAGATATATTTTCTGCATTAAAGAGTACTTTTGCTCTTTTGTTATTTTTACAATTAGTTATAATAGTGAAATTGAAAATGCTGAAGGAGAAAATAAAGGTTTAAGACACGAAATTTTGATGTGCAAAATTTTGACTTCTTTGAAAAGGCTGCAGAAAGCCACACTTAATGCGGCCTTAAGGTTGCAGGTTCCCCACCCTTGCTCTAGTCTATGTTCATATTGTGAAATATATACATAGGGAGTGTGGGGGGATAATTTTTGTTTTAATAATCTAAAAATTCTACCATAGTTCAAACATAATATGGTTGTAAGAGCAAAAGTATGTATACTATATTTTATCATAATTTTGTGGATTTAAAATATCAATGTTTTTAATGAATAATCAGTAAATGCTTGTACTCTATAAAGTTTATTGATAAATTATGTACCATAACACTGTGAGGATAATGTACTGTAGTAATTGGCTGACTAATGAAATAAAGTTGTGGAGTGTGACTAGCGCGTGACACACTGGCACCAAATGCAACACGTAGGAAGCCCTACAAGCTGAAAGAAGCAAGTCAGTCTTTGTGCACCCTTGAGTCTCTCGGGAACATTTGTGTGGAACATACTGATTTTTAAAATACTTGTGCAATTTGGATCTGAACTCATGCAAAAGAAGTGAATGATTTAGCTCAACACACATAATGTAGGAAAATATGCACAATTAATTTGTGTTGTATTTTGCAATTAAAATATATAACATTCTTTTAAATGTTTATTAACTGTATTTATGATGTATGCACAGTTAATGCCTATGACCTGGCATCGAGATGCTGTAGTGTAAAATTGTCGTTATCTGGATGGTTGCTAGCTATTGGATGTTGGCACCAGAAAAAATCTATAGTGCATGCACCAGTGACTATAATGAAAATGTAAAAGTATCAGGAACTCATCAGATATACAGTACAGTACTCTAATGACATAATGGAACATGAAGGGTTTCTAATATAAAGCTGTTTGAATTAATTTTTCCATTATTCTGTCGGTGGGTTTGAAGAAAATTTTAGTTTTGTTGATCAAATTCAAAGGGTTACATTTGATCTACAGTACTTTAATATTTTCAGGCAAATGTATGGTCCTTAAACTATACGATGATAAAGGGGAAACTTCTAGAAAGGTGCATTATGGGTAATGAACTGCCTGTATTCAGGCATCACAATTGTCTTGTATCCAAAATCAAGTATCTCAAATTTATTTCAAATGTTGCCGATGCATTGCCATGCACACTATGCTACTTTGATGGTTAATTTCAGACCTTGACAATTAGGGTTTACCAGGGAATGAGTCCACAGACTCTGTGGCTGATGCCAGTTGGTTCATGCATGGGGGAAAAGGGTGTAACAGTGTCACAAAACTGTATGAAAACACAACCGAAGACAATTCACACACACCGTATAAAGTACTATGAGGTCTTGACACAGCGGTTCCCAATGGATGTGTCAACTAACATGTGATGGTGCCTGTGTCTGGTCTCCCAGAGGGGGGGAAGGCAAACATTTGTAGACTGTTTGTTTTTAAAGGAATATTGTCTAATATTACTCAAATAAATGAGGGGTATAATTGACCATCATTTGTATGGTTATACTGGGAAACTTTCCTTACATTTTGGTGATATGTCTTGCCAACTGAAAACTAGTACCTGAAGGGCCAGATAGTTGGCACAGTGTGTTATATCCAGCCACCTACATGTTTTACAAAGTATTGCATCCACAGGCATAAGATTCATATATTTTTAGAGAAAATTCTCTTGTTATATTTTCATTATATATTATATTTATCTCTTGTTATTTTCCATTTGTGTTTCTGTAAATGTTTCATATATTTTATTGCCAATTTATGTTTTATTAACTTAGAGACACAGATATTACCGACTTTTCCTTACTTCTCTGTTAATATACATATATACATACAGGGTACATATTTTTAGTGCGCTTTTGTGTTGATCATCCCAATATTATTAAATGAAGTTGTTCGATTTACTTGAATGTTTAATAGTTTTTCAAGTTTAAAATACAGTACAGTACATAAATGTTCTGCAGGCAACAAGTCATGGTGTTGATGAGGGCCCATGATTTTTATACTGCCCATTGAGAAAGGTTTATTTTGAATTTACATTTTTTAAATGCTAAAAATAAAATTCTTGAAGACAAGACATAATAAAAAACTAAAAAAAAAAATTTATGTACTGTACATGAAAGAATATTTCAATTGAATTTCATAGAGAAAATATGCATGTAGCAGGGCCTCTGTTCACATCCTGAACAGAAGACGTGAGCGAAGCACTTGTTCCGGAAGTGTTCGGACGTCATCAGTTATGAGTCTTGTGTAAACTGCTTTTCATTTATAAATGGGTTTTAGCGGCTGGATTAACGAGCTTGGATCTTTGTGTGCAAGGAGGGGCGGGCTGACTGATGAGATATCAATTCAAATGTTTAATGCTCTTTTCTATAATATCCTATTTTCTATAGTTTCTATAAAATCTTAAAAAGTTAATTTTGACATTGTTGGAGATGTCCAAGAGACAAAAATATCATTAATATTGTTTTTATTTTACAGATTTCAGTTGTATTAGCCTGCAAATTGGAGGGGTGGAGTCGTCGTAATGCATGTGAAGTGACTTTAATGCCTACTCATTAACAAGAGCACAAACTACATTTGGATAAGTGCTAACAAGCCTTTAGTAACTTGGTGGAGATGGCATTGCAAATGAATGTATCGGGCATTCGTCGCAATTTGAAAAATATTGCCCACAATTACACAGATGCACAGGTAAGACCTGAAGGTTTACTTTCTCTTTTTGAACATATAGTATAGGGGTACCTCGGTTTGAGAGTTTAATCTGTTCCTGGAGACAGCTCGTAACCCAAAAACTCGTAACCCGAAGCTATTTTCCCCATAAGAAATAATGGGAAATGAATTAATTCATTCCTGACTACCCAAAAACCTCACTTCAAACTAAATTTGATACCTAATTCATCAAAATCTACACTACAAAACTGTGCTCAAGTTATTACCATTGCTGATGATTGCTGTTGGCGTATGGAAGATTGTGTGGAGGGGGGAGGAGGAGAGGTGTTACTGTTTGGAAGGGGAGTCCCCTTCCATTATAACATCAGGCAGTGAGGACTTCACTGGTGTGCACTCTCTGGGACGTTTTACTTGCATACCACTAGGACCTGCTTGTGGCTCACTGCTTGCTTGTCTTGCTAAGAATCTGTCTAAAGACACTTGTTTTTCCCTACATTTTAACACTTGTCTGTAGTAAGACATCACATTGTCATTTAAAAGGTCTATGCAATGGCCTGCTACAGCTTTATCTGGGTGAGTTTTTTGAAGAAAACTTTGCAGTTCTTCCCATACTTCACACATTTTTCTTAATGAGGAAAGGACATCCTCTACTCACAACTATTTTCTTAGGTTGAACCTTACCACTGGCTTTCTTGGGACCCATTGTGAGATATATAATAAAAAAATTTGTTCAAATGGCCAAATATCCAACAAAACACTAAATCTTGGTGAAGAATTGAGGGGGAGGAATAGTCACTGGGCGCGAGGCACTGATAAACTGAGCGGCGATCGCCGTTCCACCACGCGCTAGTCGGCCCGTACGCGTAACGACGCCCTCGTATCCTGAGGCAACCCTCATATCCCGATAAAAATTTTTCGAGCAAATCCTGCTCGTAACCCGAAAAACTCGAAACCAGGGGCGCTTGTAAGCCGAGGTATCACTGTATCAATAAAAACTGCATTATTTATGATGGGTACATCAAATTAATCAGAAGTGTGTTAAGATATTTTTTCTGGGAAGGCCCTCTGTGTAGCTTCTAGGTGCTTAATACTAAGCCTTAGGATTGTGCCAGACCTCTCAAGACCCACGCTCGCCTACTGAGAGCCAGGACCAAACTCTAGCTCTCACAGGCGAATGGAGTTTGGGGAATCATTGATTGACTTAAACCTTAGGAAAATTGACAAGTACTTGATAACAATGTACATGTAGAATGTACATGACCCATATGAAATCTAATCTAGAATGAATGTGTCTACTTGTGGGCAGGGTCTTTAAGTAAGATGGGGGCTGCCAGTGTTGCAATAACACTTTATGGACATGATATACATTTAGTTGCCATTGGACTGGAGTGCTTGGTTTGTTGGTCCTTGATCTTTAAAGCAGTTGTTTTCATACATATTAATTAGCACTGTCTTAAGGCATTAATGGATTTGTCATATTCTGCCTACTTATCTATTGGAAGTGAATTGACTGAAAGGGAGAATGTTCTTTTGATGTGGGTAATTAAATAATAATCTTATAAAGCTCTTTGGATTATTTTCAAGGTGGATTTTGTTGTTGCATGCTGGACATTAAATTGAATTCAAAATTATGCTATGCAGCTGATCCATGGTTGATCCATTGCAACTTATTCTTATCCTTTAAATATTTTGTTCGATTGTAATGTCTTCACTCAAACACTTGTACATGTATTTTCAGAGTCAAAATATCTGATTCTGATTGGATTTGCTGATCTTTTAAGATTTAATTCTTTAAATTTCAGATTAAAGTGCGTGAAGCAACCAGCAATGATCCATGGGGACCCTCTTCTACCCTTATGTCAGAAGTTGCTGACCTGACTTACAATGTGGTGGCCTTTACAGAAATAATGCAAATGATCTGGAAAAGATTGAATGACCATGGACGGAACTGGAGACACGTTTATAAAGCACTTGTTTTGTTAGAATACCTCATTAAGACTGGTAGTGAGAAGGTGAGTCCATTAATCAGGGCGTCTGACCGGCTGGCTCTGTGCTTCAGCCTAGTACAGTAATCTTTTTCTCAGTCCAACTCTTCTAATGGATATCACTTGACCAACTCTACTATCCTATGTCACACTTTTCTGGCCTTCTGTTGTATGATGTGAACAAGTATGTGGTTCACTCGGGAAATGAACTCATGACATCTGGCATAATTTTGTAGAATCTTTGCCTTGTCCGTCATTCTGTGATTCATATAAAGATAAGGAAATCAATGTAATTTCTTCTTTAGATTGGCTTGTTTCTCATTTGTATTTAATATTCTGGTGTAGATTGATGTGATTATATGATGATACATATCTGTATATGATAATATATATCTGGAGCATACAAAGCGAGTTATTAATATCATGGACTTGTGCCTCATTGTACATCTGTTGTTGAAGTGCGCTCGTTCACATGAAAGGGAATGTGTACAGTACCAGTAAATCTTTTGTTTGGATTTAGTTAATTTTCTTCATATTTGAAAATATATAACAGTTTTCTGAAGGTCTTTGCAAGCATTGAAATTCAAGTGGCTATGGGGTAATGTGTGTATAGTGGTGATTTAAATTTACATACATTTTATTGACAACTATTTCCGTTATATATTTTGTTTAATTTATCTTTTAAACAGGTTGCAGATCAGTGTAAAGAAAATATTTTTGCTATCCAAACATTGAAGGATTTTCAGTATTTAGAAGAAAATAAAGATCAAGGAATGAATGTTCGAGAAAAAGCCAAAGCTCTTGTGACGCTTCTGAAAGTGAGTGTACATAATTTACTAGACCTTCTTGAATCATTTCTCTGTATCATGGATTGTTACCTATGCTACCAAAATGTTCTTCTTCCCAAAATCTGTTGACTTTCTGTTGATGTAAATATTAGTTTTGTATGAAATTATGTGTGTCAAGAGTGAAGAGAAAAATGGCATTTAAAAAACCTTTGATAATATATTAACTCCTTGAAAAATGCTTTCTCAACTGCATATGATGAATGTTGAGTGGTATATTTATCCATACTGTAAATATTCATATTTCAGGATGATGAGCGACTTCGGAATGAAAGAGTACGAGCCCTTAAAGCCAAAGAGAGATTTGCACAGAGCGTTTCGGGTATTGGCAGTGATAGTGTAAGTTACTTCAACAGTATAATGTTTCTCACGTTATTAAGTTTTCATTGTCTTTAAATTTTAAAAGTTTTTTCCTTTTTGTTTTTCCAACAATTAAATTAGTTTTTTTTTTATAAATCTAGGTTTCAAGCAAAATTGGTTTAATTTATTTTTACAGTTGGAAACTAGGTTGGAACAACAAAGGGTTTTGATAAATGGATCTTCACTCTGTATAGGGGATCAGAGCACTGCCGCAATGTTATAATTAACCAAGCTTATTCTTCAGAGCTTTGATTACAGTACTTATTTAAATAACTTAGCGCACAACTTACACAGTACTACAAATGTTATACTGTAACAAGGCTGTTCCCTCGAATACTTTTTATTTATATTAACTTATATGGGAGTATATGTAATTCAGGAATAAATATATCGTCAGTGTAATCTCAATGCTGGGTACTGTAATTGCTTTGCTAATAGGTGATTTAACTGCTGTGGGTTGATATGAACAATCTTGTGAGAGCATTACTCTCTCATTAAATTAGGGAATTAGACAGCTGTTGTGGATTGCGTCCTGTTGGATGGTCAGTAGATATGATAGAAACACTTCTGGGAGTCATTGCATCAGATAACTGGTGGCTAGAAAGGCATGGTCCAATAGGTACAAGCTTGTTCATTCAGGCACAAATAGGTGAATACACATCTATTCACTTATGTTCACATAAACGGACAATCGTGTGCGTACACATGTACAGTTCACGTGCACGCACACATGCCCCCCAGTACCCCACCCAAACCCACTCCCCAACCCCCCCTCTCCTGCCTCTCCAATTCACACACCAACACACCCACTTTGACCCCAGCTGCCAGATACTAGAAATTTATTATCTTAAGTGTTTTATTGCAAGGTTTGGGAAATATGCAAGTAGTGTTCATTAATTATGACAGAGTAGAGAGCTAGAGTTGTATACAAGAGGATATAAATGTTACAGAAATGGTGTAATTTTGGGTTGCAACTGTAAGAAATCATCAATCCCCTAATTTATTAGTTGAAAATCATCTACAGCCAGTGTAACTAAATAAGCCTAAGCCTGTTAGGTTCAATAAACAATATTTCAAAGTGTTACAAAAGTGTAATGCTTGAATTACAATAATAAAACCGAGTCAAGGAAAGTGTTAAGTGTCTGACCACCATTAAGTGTTTAGCAGATTGATGGTATTGAACAATAACAATACAAGTGATGGTGGGCATGAACACTCAGTGGATTAAGAATTCATGGGTGTTTTACAAGACAAAATATTTGTAATTTTTTTTTTTGCAAGGTTTGTGGATTTAGAGAAGAAGGTTCAATATTAAGCAGGGATCATTATAGATTTAAGTAAAGAAAATTATAGTTTTTGGGAAAAAAGGCATCTCTGGAAGTAGACTTGACATGCATGGGGCACAGGATTCCATCAAAAGAGCTAACTAGCACAATAAAGAAAATAAATAAGGATGATAATGAAGGTTTTCTTGAAAGCCAAAGACACAAATCTGGAGAGAGAAAATTATAACAAAAATTGTTGAAAAGATTAGGGTCTATTTAGGCACCACTTCATTTGGAAAGTTAGCTTAGGCTATCTGATAGGGAAGGAGTTTTGTGCAGATCAGATAAAGGTGGTTACAAATAGAATAAAGGATAACCAAGAAAAAGGAATGAATTGAGAAAGGAGGTAGGGAATATATAGCAGTGAAAAAACATAGGTCTAAGGCAGGAAATTAGAAAAGAACTGACAATAATCACAAAGCTGATATGGTTGATAGTGTGTGAGTATAGACACAATGCTGTACACACACATACAGTGTATTCACACATTCATTTACTAACATAATGCCAATTCACATACAGTATTTATGCAATTTGAAAGAAAGTCTGATTACTTTTAATTAATATTTAATTCTCTATATTTGGCTTTGGTTGCATTAGATTTCACCTTTTGTGCACATATTTTGTGATTATATCTTTTACATATACTCTTTGCCTGCTTTTTTTTAATATATATTTTAGAGGATGGTATGACATGATTGTTTTAAATTGAGATGTGATATGTTAATTCCCTCAGTGTTAATACTGTGTGGCTTCTATAATTGATGTTCTGAATGCATTTAAGTCAGTCCCACGGTTGTGTACGTTAAAGTTGAATAGTGTGTTCCCTCAGCCAGTAATGCATCGCCCTCCATAAAGATGTTCATTTTTGTCTTTCAGCTCAATTTTGAAGTTTATTTTCAGTTGTTTCTAATCCTTGTTTGTTGTTACTCCTGATCATATATTCTTGCTCCTTTCACAACTGCCCTTTGAGCTTAACATTTTTGTCAGTGAATTGAGCTTTTATCTTTACAATTCCCTTGAAAAACATCACTGTCTGTATATGCGGAGAATAAGTCATAATAATGTTGCTGAAAATTAATAACTCAATCCACATATTTGTAAAGAATGGAAAGTGATGATGAGTCTGTCTCTCCTGGACCCTTAACACTTGTCACCTTTTCATTTATGTGAGGTGAGTTATTAGTGTTTGTGTATCATGTTCCAGGATTACAGTAAACACTAATGAAAAATGGCGTATTTGACGCAGGGTGTTGTTGTGTACTGGTAACTTTACAGTGTCCCACACTGAGAAGGAAATAATGTTTCTGCCTTTGGAGGATATTTATTGTGTCGGCTTGAAATATCACACTAAGTGCTTCAAGTGTTGGGCTATGCAGGATACTGGCAATAACTTTGTTACACTAGTCAAAAGTAGCATTGTATAGCCTTGTTTTTATCATTGTCAAATTGGCAGTTCTGAGAGAGAATATCATAGTAGTAGTAATAGGCCTGAAGATTCTGGAGATACTGCATTTATTGTTTTAGAATCTTGTAGTTTAATTTCATTAGTTAAAATGCATATTTACCTCAAGCATTTTACAATGATAACCCACAGTGGTGCAAAAAGAGAGATGACAGACTGTTAAATATTGATGCAATAAATAATTAAGTGTTGACATAAGTGAGGGTTTCCTTGCTATGCCTAATGATTATACTGTAGTTTGAATATTTTGTTGAAAATTTCATACCTGCAGGGTAATCCACGAGATCGTCACCATGCTGAAGAATTGACAATTATCTGTGATGGGGATAAGGTTGGAGATATAATAGCTTCAGCTGTAGTGTTGGGGATAGTTAGAGTAGCCATATGATACAGTACCTGTACACTACATGTAAATATTGAAGTAGTCTTGGTAAACTTAAACTTCCATTGTATAAGCCATGTAGTCTTCATATTGACTTTGGCCTCGTGTTTTAGTGACCACGTAACAATTGTATTATTCTGCCATTTGTCAAGGCCATGTGTCATTAAGGTTTTGATACAGTATTTACATCTGGCAACATATTTAAATGTACTTTTAAAAATATTTTTAATCCAGTACAAAGTATTTAGTTTTGTTATGTTTGGATGAAGGAAATAATTGATTTCTGGTTTCATCTCATGATTAATGTAAGTATAGGTTGTCAACACTGCAATATAGTATTCATCAAGGAGAAACATCATTTCTAAATTAAACAGAATTGGAAGTTTTTAAGTAATTCGTCTTTGTTTTTGCTCACAATGTGCAGCATGAGATCCTGACTAGTTTGGCTATGAATTTGATTTAATCTCAAACTGAGAGTGTAATTGTAAGAATGTTCATATATTTAGTTTTATAGTTTTAACAAATATGTACATGCAATAGGCCTGCTGTATATGCATTTCATGCATCGAAGGACACAACAGACAAATGTGTAAAAATGTCAGTATTCTGCACACAAGCCTAATCCTGTTATTATGCAGTCAAGCCAGTTATTTTCTTACTATCCTTTAACTTGACAATACAGTATTTGTGTTCTCAATGGCTTCGGATGTCTGCTTTAAATTAGTAGATGACAAATCACAGTGTTGTATGTAATATGGCTGAATGTTTTATTTTTTTGTTGAAGGCTTTTCCTACTTTCCTTCACAGGACATAAGCTCTCCCACTAGTCCCTCTTATGCTGATGTAAGTATCTGCTCAACTCTGCTCACAGTTTTGCACTAGATCACACCTAAACGTCCCAATGTAGCTTGCTTAGTAAGTGCTCGTAAAAGTCTTCATGAATACAAATACAGGTACTGTCACACTGTCCGACCCACATAGGACATACCTAAATAAGCCTCCTTGTTTGACCGCTTTTGGTCCTAAGCTGGTCGGACAGGAGCACAGTGACTGTAACAAAAATATTTACAAATGTGCCACTTAAAATGTACCTTATAAGATGTAAGTTGCTTTATAAGTTCATTATGGTTAAAAAAGTGTTTCTGACTATAATAATAATTCAGTGCAATAAATTTATTTTCAAGTAATTAGCTTTACAAGCTGCAACTTGGCAAGTGAAGGGTGATCCATGGCTATATCTATAGTGGGAAAATTTATCCCATAGCATGTTAATTTTTAAGATTTGCTTTCTGAGAGTACATACCGTCCATTGCACAGAAATGGAAGATAAATAGATTTAAGAGATTTTTTTATGGTATATCAGTATTGCAATATCAAATTTTTTTTCAAGTCGACAGTTTGTAAGTATTGGAAGTTATTTCTAAAAGGATTACATATATATTTGCTTAACAATTTTTCTTTTCTTTAAAATTGTTAACTGTCTAGTTTATTTTGGCAGAGTTATTGGTTGTCATTTGTGTAAAAGTAAATTGGGTAAATTTGTGTAAAAATATATTTGGTAAATTTGTGTCATTCTTGCAGGATCACTCATGCTCAACTTTATACGAGATCATGCATAATAATATATCCCTCTTAGTTTTATCACAGTTTTATTCTATTCATTCCACCCATTGTATCCAGTGTTAGTCCTGTTCTCGTGTCCAGATTTTTCTTTTCTCATCGCCTGTAATGTAAATTCTTTTTGGGTACTTGACATGTATGTCTTTCATTCAAATTTGCCATACTCTGCTTCTTTCAGAACCACATGCGTATATTATGTCTGAGCTAAGATCCCATTGTTGGTTGCTACCTTGAGCCAGTGGCCTATATGGATCCACTGGAATGCATTCTGCCCACCAGACTCCTATGACTTCTTAACCCTCAATCACTTTTCAAGTAGTCTGGTCACATATCAGGAAAAAGAGTAGTGAAAGTACTTCAGCCTGCATTGTTATTACCTACTCAGTTCTTATTTGTACCTTCTCTTATTATTATTATTATTATTATTATTATTATTATTAGATGCAATTTTGTTTAGACTTTCTCAATTGTTTTCTCTGGGTTTAAGGGTATTGCTAAATTTGATGTTGAGTATTTAGAGCATTTCATTGCATTCGTTTTAGCATTGGCCTGCTTTAAGCCATTTGAGTACTGCTCCAGTGGTATTGGGGTGAATTGGTATTGGTTTATCAATACCCTCAAGATCTAAGGTATTGGGGGTATACCAATACCCCGAAGACCTAGGGTATTTGGGCCCTAGGTCATCTATGAGATCTTGGTCTGCCCTGGTGTTTTGTGTGTTATCCTGGCCTGGGCCAGGATAACAACAGACTCATCCTCCACAAGGTAGGTAGGGCCTCTGGGATTTATAATAATAATGTCCTCCTCAAATCCGTACACTCACTGCATTAGAGGAGAGAAGAAACATGGGGGATATGATTATCTTGAGATTATCTTGAGATGATTTCGGGGCTTTTTTTAGTGTCCCCACGGCCCAGTCCTCGACCAGGCCTTCACCCCCAGGAAGCAGCCCGTGACAGCTGACTAACACCCAGGTACCTATTTTACTGCTAGGTAACAGGGGCATAGGGTGAAAGAAACTCTGCCCATTGTTTCTCGCGGGCGCCTGGGATCGAACCCAGGACCACAGGATCACAAGTCCAGCATGCTGTCCTTGACATGTGATCACTATATAAAATATCCTGATGGTAATAGATAAAAGGGACAAAGGAAGTCTATTTAAATTAGAAAGAGGTAGGAAAAGGAGACACCAGTGGAAGCTGGCTATGTAGTTGTCTTAGAAATGTAAGGAAGTTCTTGTTCCTTTGTATGAGTGGTTGCATTGAAGGAAGATATTGTTGAAGCCAACTCTATCCACAGCTTTTAAGAAAAATAAAATGAACGAGAATGTTAAGAGAAGTAATTAGAGCGCCAGATATAAACAGCTACAAGTCATGACATAAAGAGCTAGTTTTCACTACCCTGTAATGACTGATGGGGAAAATATTTCCCTTTCTTGCCTGTGGATGGTTGGCCAGGATTTGGCTGGGCATGTCGAGACAACAATCTAGTGGCCAAACCCCCCTCGCGTTGTGGCATTGACAGGGGTTCTGTGTTGGTTTCTCAGGTTTTATTCATTGTCTTGGTTTGGGCATGCATATTTCCTCTGACCTACCCTTTCTTTCCCCTGCCTGAGGTTTTACGGGATTTGGCTTTTGGCATTCTGGGACAACATTTTTGTTGTCGTTGCTGGGGGCACCTTCTCGGTTGCAGCTGGTTAAGGGGTTCTAGGTTGGCCTGGTTTGAGCATACCTATTGTTCTGTGACTAGCCTTTCCTATCTCCTGCAGGTTGTTTAGCAGGGTTTGACTCGAGCACACCGCATCCACATCTTGCGGCCAGGGCGCCTCCTGGAGGTGTGTGTGTTTGTATTTTATCCATGGACTTAGTCCTCCAAATTTATTCATAATAACTTTTCTGGTTTTACTCTAGTAATTGCCTAAGTGTAGTTACAGGATGAGAGCTACGCTTGTGGTGTCCCGTCTTCCCAGCACTCTGTCAAAGCATATAACGCTTTGAAATTACTGACAGGTTTGGCCTCCACCACCTTCTCACCTAACTAGTGTGTGTGGTTCCATGGCTTTGGCTTGGTTGGAAGACTGGCTACTGGGTTCTTGGTGGGGTTGTTTCCCTCCTAATATTTTTTTGACATGGGTGTGGCTGCTCTATGTCTATTGGATTTGGTCTTGGATGGTATGTGCTTGTACTCTTGTTCCTTGTTGCTTTAAGAAGTAACTGAGGGACAAACTCACATCTCGGAGAACTGTTAAAATTTCACTTGGTTCCCAATTTTTGCAGTTCTACTGTTGTATTCCACACCCAAATCATGCCTTTATTGGTTATTGCATCAGTTTGAATTACCACTGAGGGTTCAGTGTTAAACAAATCCAGATGGTTCACAGATTTCACCATTTTTAGGGAATGTATTCTTTATCTTATCCAGACAATGATACTGGCTCCAGAGCCCATGAATGTGTCTACTCTGGAAACAATTAGCAGGAAAGTATGATTTAGATAATGGCTTAGTCCATATCTAGCTGACGTATATTCCTCGTCATAAGATTTATCCGTCTTTCCCTGTTAGGATGTTACTGTATGTTTGTCTCATTCATCTTTATTTGCCTGGAGATGACAAATAATGCTGTCATTATGCATTTAATTTGACATTCTTTACAATTTATCATGCTCAACCAAATTTTCTCTTGCATAACCTTAATCTTGATTTGTATAACTTTAATGGAGCCTTCATCTGGCTCAAATATTGTTTCACTATCGTACATTCCTCAGTTCTTGTCATATATCCATACTAACTCGTCACTTTCTCTGCTACGTAGTCTTCCTGTCTTGGTGCCTTGTTTTGAGAATTACTTGTGACTTTTTCTTTTCTTAAGAGCAATATCTGTGCATGTATCTTACTTTTAAAACTCTTCTCTCAGTCTTCAGTTATTTATTGTAGTGAAATATCATACTGCTTTATCACTGTAATTCTATATTGATAAGTGTTTTTCGTAGTTCTTGTGAAATAGATACCCCTTATTCTACTACTAAATGTAGTTCTGAAACTACATTTATACTGTAGTTTCAGAACTATTTTGGAGTTGGTAATGGCCCTTAGATTTAAAGGAATTCTATAAATTTTTTGCCTGTGCATAGTTGCTTTTAGAAATGTTAGGTATATAATTATTTCCAGTACTGTATTTGTAAATTTTCCATACATTCTTTTCAGACTTATGTTACGAGTTCTTCACGGCCTGCTGAACGAAATGCTTATGGTATTAAAGATGGTCCTTCTGGATTAGAACCTCGTGAGTAGCATTGTCCCAATACATAATACAAATTTTCATCAGTAATCAAGTACAGTAAGGAGATGTATTTTCATTTTTTTTTTAATAAATTTGTTGTCAATATTTACTTTCTAATTATTTAAAATTCAGTTGAAAACCAAATACTGTACTACTACTGTACTTTGTATTCCAATTCCATCTTAAAGTTTAGTCAATGACTAGCATTGTGTTAAGTCATCAATAAATTTCAAATATTTTATGGCAAGGCTCTAGTTATGATAATTTTGTTAGGTTTGTGTTAAATATAATGTTACCCGGTATATGCAATTTAGTACAAAAAAAATTCCTTATTAAAGTTATCAAGTGATTGTACAGTACTGTACAATTATGATTGTACAGTATTCATATTATGGCTTCATTTTTTTTTTTCCCTTGAAGTGCCCTTTTAATAACTTGAGAATGTCCTGATATGCATATTGATTTTAAAACTTAAAATAATTTGGTATGTTTAACAAATTATATATATTTACTACTGACACTAAACAATTTAGCCACATGGCAGTTTTTTCTTTTAGTTGGCATGCATTACAGTGGTGAAAATTTAGTTTTTTCTATTACTAGGCAGTGTAGCTCAATGATAGCAAGTATTTTGTTTAAGTGATATTTATCATTTTTGTGGCTATTTCTGTAAGAGTTTTATCACCAGTTATTGAATGAAAAATAAACTACTATTCACTAGAATTTTTGCCACTTGAGAACACTTATCACTACCACCCCCCACCTGCCTCACACCCTGTCACTACCACTCACCTGCCTCACACCCTGTCACTACCACCCACCTGTCTCACACCCTGTCACTACCACCCACCTGTCTCACACCCTGTCACTACCACCCACCTGCCTCACACCCTGTCACTACCCTCCGCCTGCCTCACACCCTGTCACTACCACCCACCTGCCTCACAACTCATCTCTGCACCCACCTATCTCTCATACCCCCTCGTGCCTCGAACCCTACCACCATCACCCACCTCACATCAAGGGGTGTGACTACTCACACCCCCTGTGAGTAGTCACAGCATCTGTACATGACATGCACACACCCTATTTGCACCCATTTTTTGGCCTGCTTCTCCTCTCCTCTTTGACCTTCAAATTCCCATGAATACCCTCTCTTCACCAGTCTGTTATCTTTCAATCATTTAACATGGAGAAACCATCTTGGTACACCTAACGCCGCCTATGGTTTTCTTGAATGTCCACTTGTACAGTACCATTCTAATTTTGTGTATTAAACACAAACCACTCCTTCATGCAACCCAATGACTTCATCTCTCTATTTTTTGCTTATTGTAATGAGGTCTTTTCATTGCACGAACCGTTTTCTCTTCTATTTAATTTACTTTAGGCTTAGCTTTTACAAATATCTCACTGTCAATTCCTACTTCCTAGGTATTAAATATCAACTAAGCACTTTTCCATTCACCTTGATGTTATAGTTTTCATCTTTTACATCCCAATAAAACTCAGTCTTCACCAAAAGAACTATATCATCTGAGTTCAGCATATCAAACTTGATAAATAGACCTTCAATAAATAATCTCATACACTAGGCTTACATCATTCACTAATATTACTACCTTGACCTCCCTGGCCCCAAGCTGGGCTCTTGGAGTAGAACAACTCCCGTAACCCTCTCCAGGTATGCTCCAGGTATTATTATTATTATACAATATACTCAGGAGTTGGTCTCTTTCAGTCTCCTTTCCTAAACTGTATACTAAATATTGAAGTGCAACTAAACTTATTCTTTACCTTTTTAGCATGTGTATGCCATTGTGTGTTCTTGAAATCATTTTTTACTTTATTTGCTTTCCATTTGTTTGCCAGAGCTTGAGGCTGCACGTCCTCAGACAGTTGGTGAAGAAGAATTGCAGCTACAACTGGCGCTAGCCATGAGCAAAGAGGAAGCGGAACAGGAGGAACAAAAACAGCGTTCTGATGACGTGAGGCTGCAGATGGCCATCACCCAGAGTGAGGAAGATTTTAAGTAAGTGAACACTTGATGATGTAAACCAGTCCCAAGTATCCTGTAATAGAGAGGGAATGAGCTGAGCTTGAATTTGTATCTTTCCACTAAAGGCCATGTGCCTTTCCACTCCATAAAAATGAGAAATGGATTATTGCTGAAATTCAAACTGGAAAGCATATTTTTTTGTTTGTTTTAACATTTTTTTTATTTAGACGTTGAGAATACCATACACAAAATGTCGATTGTGAAGGGTTTATTTATTTGTATATTTGTTCCTTTATTGAATAGGAGAAATGTCTAGCAAGACCACTATTCAGGCTGAAGTAGTTAAGAAAAAAAAATGTCGGCTATTCATGAAAAGAGGGAATTGATGGTCAAAGTTGAAAGTATATTTTAAAGATTAGATGAATCTCTCTTGATTCAGTAAAGCACACTGTTGTTCCTGTTCCTTATCTTTATGACCCAACTTGGTGTGGTCTGGGGTCCTAATGAGGCACAATCTAGGGTGGACAACCCAGTTACCCCTGTTGAAATGTAGGTGGTGGCAGATGAGCAGAGAGCAACTTGGGCTGTCTCTGCTGTTGGGTAGCACTTGAAATGGTTTTAAAGGTAGATGAATGCGTATTCTGAAGGTCATTACCAGCTTGATAGCATCTTCTCCAGTGTCTTGTTGCTCTCAGTGTGACCTGGTGTTGACATGTGACAAAGTGCCTGCTGCACTGGGTGAAATGTCAACCCTATGGTGGTTCTGAAGATCAACATCCCTGCTGCCCAGTTTCTGACCAGGCCTCCTGGTTGGTCGTGTGGTCAACCAGGGTGTTGGACGCAGCTGATTGCATCCTGGTTGATATTATATCCTTTGGTGTTTATCGAATTTTCCATGTTTGCCTATAATTTCCAGGTGCTTTAGGAAGCAGCTGAGCATCTTGTTAAGAAAGAAGCTTTTCATTTACTCTTAAAGCCATATTTTCACAGGGGCCGCTGAAGATAACTAATGGTAGAATTTGTCTCCATTTGTATCTTAACTATATTAATTGAATGTTTAAAATTAACAAATAAGCAAAAATATGGCATCATCACAACAGTTTGTAAAGATTATTATTTACATAATTTTTAAATTAAAAAATGTATTTTTTGTATACTGTACTGATAAATTTAATTACAAAAATGTTTATAGACTTAGATGTCACTGTATATATTAAATTGCCATATCTAAAAATTATTCCGCATTAATTTAGGAACTGAAATGTCATTTACGAATGTGCTACATTATGGTGATGACTTGAGAAAAATGATAAAATTTAAATATGATTATTGAACATAGCCAGATTTATTGATATATGATGCACGTTGAAATATTTATTGTTTCTTTAGGCATGTTACCATTGTATTTTTCTTTTTTTTTTTTAGGAAAGATTGGTCGCCATCGTAAGTTTTTTCTTGATTTTTGTATGGGGGGGCAGTGGTGTAGTAGTAGTGTTAATGTATGTGTGTATGTATGTATGTGTTGTGATTTGTGTGTACATGTATGAAATCATCTGCATTTTAGTTTGGAAAATAATTAGCTTAAGCAGTGTACTTTATTGATTCATGTTATTCATCCATCAGTGTATCTGAGGACTGCTTTTAACTTATTATTTCTAATTCTGAGCTTAAATTGGTCATGTGTATATGTGCACATGTTGTATATGATTTGTATGTATATGTATAAATGATCAGTGTTTGTCAGCAAATAGATTTGCTTTATTTTGAAATAAAGCATTATAATCTGGCTGTTTAATAAATTATTGATAATCAACATGCACTTTGTTGATTGGCTTAACTAAGTCACCCATAAAAGCACTATTGTCATTGGAGAAGCGAATCCATTTTGTCACTGACGATCTTATTCGTGGCCCATACTAGTAATGCAGCCCCATTTGCTTAACCCTTAAATTGCTCCTTTTCTCAAATGATGGACCGACAATGCTCCAGTCTTTTGTCAATTTAATGTGCCACTAAATATTCTAATAGTTCCTAAATATTCTATATGGTTGTCATTTCTAAACTAGAGACCTCTGGCAATTGCTTGCCATATTGGAAAAAATTATGAGAGCCTTTGTTTCTTTCCTGAGCATTATAAAACAAAAGGGCATTGTGTCAGGTACATCAACATCCATTTACTGATGCCATGCAAAATTTTAAGTACTTATTGTAGAGGAAGATATTTGTGATGTGGAGAAATTTGTTGCAAATAGTTTACTTTTAAAATTTATTCTCAGAATTTGATGTTTTCAACATTTATTCACTTTACTACGGCCAAACTAACATGATCAGAATTTTATATTTTCCCGATATTAGAAATAAATGTTTTATGATATAAAAATGAGAAAGTATTACATTTTTTATATATGCACCAGGAAAGGTACCTAAAAATTAGAAGTGATGTTTGAGGGTTAATATTATCCAGTCTTGGGAATCTTCAGGTACCTTTCCAGATGACTAATATTCAGTCCTCCAGTATTTTGTTCTTCCATCTTATTCTCTGTCTCTTCTTCCCTAAATAGATTTGTTTGGTAATATTGTGGCTGATGCGTTAGTTAATGAAAGCTAGTGGTAGTTGCTGTGGGTACAGTGTGAAACACCCGAATCAGTTTATTTGACTGGGATGTATCTTCAAGAATTGGTGATAAAAACCTTTTGTATAATTGTCTGGAGGCAGGTATTAGAGAAGGTGTTCGATGCAGTCTGTGCTTGTGTGTGAGACCCTTCTTTGAGTGCAGGAAAATGACTATGTAATGATCATCTATTAGACTGTTAAGTAATCTACATATCTTTGGCTTTTGTAGGTAGCCTAGGATGCCCAAGTATTTAATATATTTATTAATACTGCAATAAACCTTGGCCTTGATCTCTCACACCCTTATACTTGGATGCTGAGATATAGGTGTTCACATTGTTGTTATTTCGAAAATCTGTATGATAACATTGGTCAGAAGTTTGCGAGTGTAAAACTTGGTAGCACTTTTTCTTTCTACCATTTGTTTTGACAGTTACCCCACACATTCATACTATCTTGTACCTACTTTTTAATAATTGTGCCAAAGTTATAAATGGGTACTAGAATAAAAATATTAAATATATTTAAAAGAAAATCACAAATAAATCTATACAAAGGCTAAGTGTTGAGGATTAATAGCATAGAAATGAATGTAGCAATATATATATATACTCTATCAATACTTAGATTTCAATGAAGCACTTAGCAGGAATTTTCAAAACAAGCTTTCCTAGAAAAAAGAACACTTGGAAAGAGTAAGGATACATTTTTTATGGATTAATTTTAAAGAAATTATCTGCCACAGTTGACACTTAAACTAGATTATACAGCTGTGGTATGGTGTGGTGTCTATATCTAAAAAAAAAAAAAAAAAATTAATAAAATGCAATTAAAGGACCGTCAGCAAAATGGATTAGGTAGCGTGATTTATGAGGAAACTTCAATGACATTTGAACTTCGAAACGTGTTCATATTGGATAAGCACATTTAAGTTTGTATAAAGATATGTGAAGAAAAGACAAGGAAAATATTTTTGGAATCAGAAATACTGTAAGTCAAATTAGAGATTAAAATTGTTAACTACAGAAGAAAAAGTTTAGAAAAGAATAATGGGAATTATTTTTTTTTTTTTAACAGTAATAACAAAGTAACTGCTCAAACATTTTGTTTCAGTACTTATATGAAATTTGTTATTGCTAATAGGACTACAGTAGTTATCTAGTACGTTTTGCCAGCATAATTTACACATTTTGTAATACCTAATCACTGCAAGCATTGGGTATATTATTTTCACCACAGGGAGTTCAAACGTCACCAGAAAGAGGACATGTCGGCAATGAATGATCTTCTAGATATCAATTTTAATCCTCATGGTGGGGTAAATGGGGCTCGTGCACGTTCATCATCTACTCCGCCTATGTCCACCACCCTTGATCCCTGGGGCATGCCGACTCCTGCCACTACTGCTTCTCCACAGCACACCTCTCTACCCAAGGTGAGTCCTGACTTGCATTTCAAATCCTTAAATATTTTGTGGCAAATAATTTACGTTGCCTTATTTGAGAGCGTTCTCCATCAAATATTAGTACAGTACTGTACATGAGTGTTATTGATAGTCATGTACGAAATGTCAGCTTTTCTGACATGTAATCTTAACATTAGTCATGGCAAGTTCATCTGTAATATTCTTGCTTTACTGAATATACTGAATGATTGAAGGTATTAATTGTTTTGAGATTAGTAAGTGATTACTGTAGACAGTTATATACACTTCTTGTTAGGGCGTTTGTCTTGAATTGAATTTACTGTATATGATACTGTTACATATTGATGACTTATCGTAAAAGCTCAACATTTTTAGTAAGAGACATGTCACAATGAAGCACCCAGAATAGTAGAAGAATCTCTTATTTGATGTATTGATAGTGTATGTAAATTGTGTCCATTAGGAAAGACAAAAATAACGAGTCTGACTACCAAGAAATTATAGGGCAGCAATTGATTCAATTAAATTACCTCAAATACACAAATTGTGTAGAAGAGGATGAATATAGTAGATTAATGTAAAAATATTTCTTCTTTTTGGACACTTGCGTCCAAAGAGTAGTAGTTTTAGTTCTGTTAGTAGTAGACCAAAGGATAATGTGTATGGGAAAATCAATGTAAATTTTTGGGGTATTCTGAATCTTTATATCAAAATAAATATAATAATTAGTTACTCCAATTTTAGAGATAAATTAATTAGAAATGTTTCAGGTACAGAATAAAGAAGTAAAAAAGGCTTTGTTTTTTTTAGTTAGAAAACAGGTGCTCTGTATTTTGTATTATCAAGTTTTGTACAGCATACCAATTTATAATTAAAATATTATAAAAACTTGATAAAAAAATCAGGGTCAAATACAGTAAGGTAGAACAGTTCCGGGGTTTGTATTTTCGTGGGAGTGCATTTTATATACAGTGGTACCTCCGTTTTCAAATTTAATCCGTTCCCAGAGACAGTTTGAAAAGTAAAAAAATAAAAAACGAAACAAATTTTCCCATAAATAATGTAAATTTAATTAATTCGTTCCATGCCCCTAAAAATATTAACTTGAAAATACATTTTATACATACTACTATTTATATTTTGCACTGCAGTATGTACAAGTATATCTTATCATTATTGAGGATTCTTGTTGGCGTATGGAAGTCGGTGAGGAGGGGTGATGGGGGGGAGGTGTTATGGTTTGGAACGGGAGTCCCATTCCATTATAAAATCAATGATGACATTTCTGGGGTACTCTCTCTCTCACGTTTTGCAGGTATACCACTAGGACCTGGTTGTGGCTCGCTGCTTGCTCGTCTTACTAAGAATCTGTCTAAAGACACTTGGTTTTTCCCTATGTTTCCCCTCTTGGCCGCCAGGGCGGCGCTGCAGTTTGTTTGTCTGGAGATTTGCGCTTGCATTTTGGGAGCGTTTTTTTGCCTCCGTCTGAAGTTTTTTCTCCATCCATTATCGTGTGTGTGTTTTGTTCCTTCTTTTGGGGCGTTTTGCCCTTTCTGTTCCTATGGAACGTTTTTTTTTGGGGGGGGGGGGCAGATTTTGTGTTTGCGCTCTGGGTTCTGGTTTTTGGGCCCAGTGTCCATTCATGTTTGCTCTGCTTGCTCTCACGGCTTTTGACCCTCTTTTCGGTCCGTTTCTGGCTGTTTTGCCTGGGGGTTATGTCTGGTCCTTCCTTCTGTGGTGCATTTCTGCTGGCAAATATGGCTCTCTCTCAAGATCTGTTTCCGGGTTCCTTTGGGCTTTTCGGTTTTGTTCTGGAGGTTTTTCTTTCTCTTTGGTTCCCCTTTGGAGGTTTGGTGGTTACTTGGTGGTTACCTCCTGTGCGCCCTGGACTTGCCTCTTCTGGAGGCAAGTCTTCCGGGGTCTTTCTGGCTTGCAGAATGCAATTCTTGGGTCTTGGCTTCTGCTTGTCGAGATGGGACTTTGGTGCAGCTTTTGTGCCGGTGCCTCCTCCTTAGCCATCTTCATCTGGTTGGCGCGATGCTTGCACTGCTTGCAAGTCAGCCTCTTGCTTTTCTTTTATTTTTCTTATATTTTTCTCGTAGGGGGTGCCGGTCCCATCATGGGTTGCTCCGTTGACAGGGCGCTGGTGGTGGGGGGGGAGAGGCGTGTTCTATTTCCCCATGCTTGGTTCCATAATTCAGTTTGGGTCTTGTCCTCTGTGGTGGTGTTGAGCAGCTCCTCCTCCTCCTGGGGGTGCAGAGCTGGCAGGGTGGGCTTCTTCCCTCCTCCGGCCTGCTTGTGCGCTGCATGAGCCGTCCTGGTCCTTGGACTCGGTGCTCTCCTATTTCTCTCCTCAGTTCGTCGTGACCACTACAGATCAAGATTGTTTTTCCAAGGCTCTCTTTCTGTTGGCATTGGTCTCTGGGGGTTGGGTTGGTGAGCTTTGCACTCTCGTCCGGTGCATGGGGTATCTGCTCTTTTGGTTCTGGTAGTTGGTTTGTTCGGTTGCAGCCTTCTTCTTTTCTGGCGAAGAACGCGACGGATGCTTTCCGGAGGGATTTTTGGGTCATTGATGATTGGTTGGTCAGGTCAGTGCTGTATCATGTGTTGTGTCCAGTTGTGGCTCTTCACCATTACCTGCACGCTTTGGCTTCTGTGGCCAAGGATGCGCTTTGGGTTGATTCGGTTTCTCTTGTTTCCAGTTTCATGGCTTGGGTCTCCCGGGTCATCCACAAGGCTATTATGTCTAGCCATCCTTCGGTCTATCCTCGTGGCTATGACATTCGGAAGTTTGCTGCTTTGGCTGCTGTCTTCAGCACCTTGTCTTGGGCTGATATTCGGGCGAGGAGATTTTGGAGGTCGAACAGGGTGGTGGCTGCCCGTTATTTGGTTGACATTACTGGTCCTCGGCGATCGTGTTTGGCTTTGGGTCGCAGGTCAGTTGTCTCGCCTTCGAGTTGAGGAGCATGTGGCAGCCACCTCCTGGGTATGTTCCTCTTTTCCTTATCTTTGGTTATGTAGCTCCAGGGAGCTGAAGGGACTGCCCACAGAAATCCAGTGTTGACTGTAAAGAAATGCCATTTTCTGGGTATGCCCCGGAGACTCCCTGGCACACTCTCTCCCTCCAGTCAGCAGTTTTCGTGTTGTTTTGATGCTTAGTCTCCAAACTGGAGTTGCTGAGTAGCCGGCACAGGGAGTCTGGGGTTCCCTCCTCCCCCTCCCAGGGAGGCGAGAGCTGTGCAAACGAGTGGCACGGCGACAAGGTGCAACCTTTGCTTGTTTCTTTTGAATTTGAAGAAGTTTTGATTGTTCAGTTTTTGGTTGCCATATTCTTGCCATGAGGGGTCTGTTTTGTCATGCCTACCTTTCTGGGTGCCTAGCCCTGGTCAATAGTAGATAAGGAAAACCCCCCAACCACAGAGAGGTTTTCCAGGGGCCATTGCTCTCTGTGCCTTTCTAAGAGGGCCAGGTCCTGGCTCGTGGTCCCCGGTAGGCCAAACTCCATTGATTAATGCCCTGGTCTAATGTATCACACATTAGCCTGATAGCTCCAGGGAGCCTCGGGGGCACACCCAGAAAATGGCGTTTCATTACAGTCAATGCTGGCTTTTTAATGACCACTAATGGGAAGCACTTTTCACTTTTTTTTTTTTTATATGAAGTGGTGGGATGCTGCTGTGGATATTTTATCATGGTGGGATGCTTCTGATTGGTGTTGAAATTTATAGTGTAGTGAATATGGTGAAGGAATGTGTGGTGGTGGTGTATGTACTGTTGTTTACAAAGTATGGTCAATGAATGGGATATACACATTAGCTTTAATCTTCTTTTCCTATTTTGCTTTGTTGTTTCTTCCAAGCTGATACCTCTCCACACCATGTAAATTAGGATTAAGTCAATAATGAAATAATTAAATGCTTTAGTATTTACTAGAGACATAAAGTGGTTCAAAATTCAGATTTCATTTACATTAAGCTACCGAAAGATTCAGCTTATTGGTTTACTTTTGGTTTACTGAGTATTTACTACACTGCATTAAATTTAAGCCAGTTATGTTGAAGTTGGATGGGAAGGGTCTTTGGACTTTCACTGCACAGTCTGACTTTGAGTGTGTGCAAAATTTAAAATCCAGATGCACTGTACTGAATTCAACTGGGTACCTATTTACTGCTAGGTGAACAGATGCATTAGGTGATAGGAAATGGGACCAACCATTTCTGTCCCGCCTGATATTCGAACCTGGAATTCTCAATTGGGAGTTGAGAACGAATCCGACTATACAGTACTAAAATCTTGTGATAAAAATATGTGAGTGATGTTTTAATGGGAATACTCAACCACCTCCACTCATACTCATCCACCCCCACCCCCCTCATCCACCCCCACCCCTCCTCATCCACCACCCCACCCTCCTCATCCAAAACAAAAAGTGTAACAAAAAGGAGGCCTCGTCAAGGACCGGGCCGCGGGAATGCTAAGCCCCGAAATCACCTCAAGATAACCCCCCTACTTTCAACCACCCCATCTCTAGCCCCATCACCATCTTGTTTTGTGACTATATTGTTGGCTATGTTTGGATAGGGGGTCAGTGATCTTGTTTCATTTGAAACTTTTCTAATCTGTGCAATGTTTTTACCTACTCTGTCAATCAGTTTCAGAGAGTGATTTTGACTTAAAATATATATTCTGAAGATTTTCTTTGTTACTTAAATATTTTCTTTATATGCAATAGTAGTTATCTGTATAATTCCCATAATATTTGACTTTGAAAGATTTTGTAATTGGAAATGTTATTGCAGTTGTTTAGTATTGTAGTCATAATTAGATGTTGTGTTTAAAACATATAAGATTTCCCCCACCTCATAGTATACTTCCAGTTTCTCCTCAGAGGTTATTTCACTCCTCCCCTCAGAGTTTTCCTGCTGCAGGCTTCACTCCAACGCCACCCCCTGTCCCCCCTCTCCCAACCACCAGTACCTCATTCCCATCCTCTTTCCCAACTTCTAAGATAACTTTCAGACACTCAAATCCTCCTCTGTTAAGTTCATCAGCTGCTCTCCTATTTGAGCAGTGGCATCGTTCAACTAGCCCTCCAAACCCTTTTCTGGAAGAGCCAAATATTGTGCCACTTGTTTCACAGGGTCATCAAGGAAGCACTTTGCCTTCAGTTACAAATGTGTCACGTTCAGCTTCCCTCTTTCTCTCTCCTCCACAATCACAAAATGTTTCTTCTTCTCTACCATCCAATTATTCACTATTTCCTCAGATGTCCACCCCATTTCTCAGTCCTCCTCTCCATCGCTCCTCTGTCTCTGCTCCTCGGCCAGCTTCATCTCTTTCTTACATTACTCCTTCTGAAGCACCTGTAGGCTTATCCTCACCTTCCCCTTCCTCGTACAACCCTTGGGGTGCTGTTCAGGTCAACATAGCAACTGTTGAAATGCCTCCTTCAGTTAAGGTACTGGTAAAGATTTTGTGTGATGTGCCTTTGCATTTGCTTGACTAATACCTTTATACAAGATTTACTATACAGTACAACATATAGGACATGTCTGAGTAGTGACCAAAAGAAAGGTTATAACCTACAGCAATGTGGCAGCAATCAAATACCACTTCATGGATGAATGCTTTACACGCTTTATCATCAATGGTTGGGAGCAAGCATACTATATATCTGTTTCTCAAAAAATGGATTAAATATATATCAGTTAAAGTTCATAGTTATTTTAGCTGAAAATTAACTTTTAATTATTTTTATTATATAGTATAATTTTTATCATTCATTCTTCAAAATATTATGAAGTAAAAGAAAATGTTATTGTTACTGAATTGTAATTACCCAAGTTCAATGGGATGGTGATGAATACCATACAACAATGTGCACAGTGTTTTGGGCAGGAACTAGACCTACATTACAAGGTTGACAGATATGTGCAATGTATGGTATTCTAATTTTAGTTGAATTAAAATTTGTATTTAGAGATTCATTTACTGTACTTGTAAGCATAAGTTAGAATGTTATCTAGAACAATCTAACTACATATAGAAAGTTAGGTGGTTGAATTGCAATGTTAGGTTATTTGTTTAAAATTTTGTTGTGGGGGAATGTAATAATTTAATATTAGGTTGGATAATGTTTAACTAGTTCACTTAAATTAGGATTAACAGCCAGTTAGTATCTTAGTGCAAAAGTAACGTGTATGCTCATTGTTTGGTTGTAAACGGTACTTATTACAGATATACTTTTGTTTACAGCATTTAGGAATAAATATACAGTAGATATATAATATTGTGGATGTGATGAGGTGCCATTACATGACAAACAGGAGTGAGATAATGTACGTCACTTGCATAACTGTGTTAATACACTTACAAAGGGAGGAGGTGGGTGGGGGGAGGAGACACTCGTGCATTTGCATACATTTTATTTATTTGATACTACTAGTATTGTACTTAATTTGTAGGCTGTGGGGATTTTATTTAATGCGGGGTAGATTCATAAAATATTAGTGTAGGTTTTAACTTGTCCTATTTTATATTTTGGGGTGTTTTAGGCATTTTTTATATGTAATAATTATATTTGAATATCTTCATTGATATACTGGCCGTTTGAATTTTAACTTGTTTAAGTTAGGGAGGATTTTAAGTAAGTTTTCTTCACTTTTTGTTTTGCTTCCCTGATCTGAAATAAATCTAGTTTGTTCTGAATATTATCAGTTAATTTGGTTCGAAAGTGATTCAAATTAGTTTATCTTGATTAGGATTGTTTGTCTGGTATCGTTAATTTTGTTGTTGTGATGGCCGAGAGATTGACATGCGCAACAACCCCTTCTTGTCTGATTTCTTGTTAACTTTTGCTTGCAAAATTCCCCATAATTATTGCATTTAGTTGCCTGTTTCTTAATATCATATTTGGCAAAATATTTATTTTAAATATCTGTGAACACCATTGTTGTTGTTTTGCATCATAGCTCATTCACTATTCAGATGCATCTTGAGTTACTTCAGTTTAACACACTTGCATTCCAATGACACTGTTATCATTTTGTAAGCTTTCGCTAAACAGAAGTTGTGGTTATTACCTCGGTACGTATTAATGTGTGTGTTGCAACTTACTGTGTACATTGTGTATACTATAACTCCAGAATAGAGCAGCGAAATGTTGTGGACAGTTACTAGCATTGAATTGAAAAAGATAATCATATTGCGCATGAAAATTCCCAGAAATATATTTTACATGTAATAATTTTTCAATAAATTTTTTCCATATAATATAAAACATTATTTGCAAAAATGTATATTAAAAACTTAAAACAATACTGTATATGGTTACATTGGATTAAAACAGCTATATTATTATAGCTGTTTTATGAAAGCATTATAATGCTTTAAACATTATATATTATAAATTAAAGCTGAGCACTCCACCTATCTACTAATAACCATTTCATCTGAAGGGTGTGAAGTGTCGGGGCAATTACTCGGTTGCAAACATCTTGAAGTAGAAAATAATTGCATGACAACCCCTAGACGACGGCTTACATCATATGACGAATAGGACTTGCATCATAAGTCAGTTTTTACTATAGAAAATTAAGGAAATTTGGGTTTTGCTTATAACTATCAAATTCTCAAGATTTAACATCTGCGGCTACTATTACATAATAAAATGGTAAACCTTGATATTTTTTATAAAAAAAATCACTGATTAGAATTTTGGAGCATGTGGTACTGTAATGTCCAAAAAATTTATTTATAATATTAGTTTGAAACTATTTTTCAGATTTAAGAATTAACACTCTGGTGACTCAGAACTGAGAATTGTACCCTCCAAGGATTACCACATTTGCAAAAGTAAATTTTGTTAATAGCATTGAAAGATAGTCTCTTCATTCAGAGCACGAATATTGTTTTAATGTAATTGAAATATAAATACAGTACATAATTTTTTTCTGTCAATGTAATTAAAGGGATATCATTTTTGGCCATTTCTGCATAAAAACAAAAAAAGGATTTTCATAAATACAGTAGTGTTAAAAATTTGAAAAGTGAAAACATTCATGCCGTTATCATTTTATTTTTACTTAGGGTATTTAAATATACCTGCTGACCCACTTGTGCCTGTTTTGGGCACAAGTGGGGCAGCACGTGAGTAGCCCCTGGGATGTAAGTGTGTTGACAGCTTCTTACTTGGGTATGGAAAATAATATTAAACACTTCTTATTGTTTATAAGCCATGCTATATGAAGTCAATTTTAACACCATTGTTGGTTGTGTGTGTTAACCTGTAGATGTCTTGCTTGAGCGAATCAGTTGGGCATGGACCTTCTGTTGCAGCGAGACATTTGCCGTTTTGTCTGTTTGTGGCTCAATTAAGGTGATTGTATTAATGAAAATGATAGAACACACATCTTCACATTTTGATATATTAAAAAATTAAGAAATTTGTTTATATTTATTACAAATGGAAATCCATATTTTGATCATTAGTTAACAAAATATTGTGGTTTTTAATTTTGGATTTTATGCAAAGTACATAAAAGTACAAAGTACAGAGTACTGTACAGTAAAGTACAGTACTCTGGAAAATAGGGCTTTGGGACTAGGCCTCAGGGAGAGCAAACAAGAGAGTAAACTCTGTACAGTCACCATTCCCTCGTAAATGTCTATCTAGAGAGAGAAAAATTTGGATTTCACTAGGTAAAATTCATCTTTAGAGAATGGGAAATATAGAGGGGGTATGAATGTTATTATATAATATTTCTCAGAAAAAATTAGAATTGTATGGATAAAGTACAACATGCAGGTGGGGTTGTGAAAAGGCTATTGGTTACAGGAAAATTTTTATTCTGTGGTTTCCATTGTAACGTTAATATGGTTTTTGTTTACTACATCATAAATGTGATTTGGAAAATAAGATTTATGGGCTGGGTTGTGGTAAAGTCAAGGCATGAAAACTCTTAAATAATCAGGTTCTCTTTATCATATCCTTTGTGTACAACTCTAAAAGCAGCCACAGTGTGGGGAAAAAGAGAAGGTAAAGAAAATAAATTTTATCATATTTGTATTTAATTTTTTACTATATTTTGTTAAATCTGGAAAGATGTGTTCCATCATTTGAAGTAAAAATTTCCCAAAACATTTCATGACAGATATTTAATAAGTAAAAAAAAAATACAAAAAAATATTGAATACAATGGAAGTCCTTTTGCAATAGATTGGTCCAAAATGAATTGGTGCGTTTGAGTGGGAGACTCCTACACAGTACACTCACACCTCACAAATTGTAATCATATGGTGCGGACATCTATCCAAACTAGACTATTTTATTGTACTGTTGCTTGATATTTTACGACTATTTTGTTTATCGTAAAATCAGGCTATTATTTTCCCCAAAGATATATTTCATATATAAAAATAATAATCACATAAGTATAAGTAAATAAATATATAGAATAATGCAAGAGGATATGGGGATGGGATGGGGGGGGAGGAGGGTAGAGGCATGGGTGGTGGCATGTCAGTGGCAGGTTGGGTAGAGGCATGGCAGTGGGAGGTTGGGTGGTGGCATGTCAGTGGCAGGTTGGGTAGAGGCATGGGTGGTGGCATGGCAGTGGGAGGTTGGGTAGAGGCATGGGTGGTGGCATGGCAGTGGCAGGTTGGATAACTTCCAGAGGCAGTCTGGCAGTTAAATTAGTAAATGTCAGACAGACAGGAGGACATCAATAGTCACTCGGGTCAGTTATTCATCAGTAGTCATCAAAGTACTCTAATGTAGTTGCAGAAGCTGAATACTGGTATAACTGAAGATTTTGGGTGGAATAAGCTCACACATTTGCTGGACCTAAAAAAAAGTTTACCAAAATAATAATATTTATGTTTATAATGTAATTTTCCAATTGATTTTGGGATCAGAATGTATAAAAAACATGTTCTATCATTTGCATTAATAAAAACACACTAATTCTGGGCTTAAAAGCTACCAAAATAGCAAAGTATGGGTGCAATGGAAGTTCACTTGCATTGGACTGAATCTGGAAAAAATCACTCCATTTGAGGAAAACTTTATTATACTGTACTAAAATAAATAAATAAAACAAAAATATATATTTATATATTAAAATACACTGTACATATTATTGAACTGCATCTTATTATCTTATTTCTTTGCATGCCTTAGCTGACTCTTGATAATTACAAGAATTGTTTGGATGACTTGTTCAATAATGGCAATATTATTGAAGAAATGGTAAGACAAAAACAAATGTTGTCCATGAATTTAGTAGAGCACCTGATGAGCCACTTATGTCCACTTAAATACTTAATGCTTTCATAAGTATTGTTTTGCTGTCTTTAGTTTCTCATTGATAATAATTGTGTGCTCAGATCAGGTAAGTAGTATTGTATAGTAATTACCCAACAATTATGTGTCTGTCTTCAAGTAGGTAGTTATCTTTCAATATTAGTTCAAAGGCAAAATTTAAATACTGTATAATGAATTAACAAAATATTGTATATTTAGGTGTATAGTCTTCTTCTGGAATACTAATTATTAGTTTTAATCTAGCTTGATACCTGCCATGGCCATCCCCTCGGGAGTTGCTGGGGGAGAAATGTACGCGACACATGCAATAGATAGAAATTTTGAGATCTGACCTATTCATTCCATTTTCTGCCCCAGTAGCTTGTACCAAGCATAAATTTTTCTCGGCTACCTTGAATCAACAGGATCTTGTGTGTCAGATACTTCTGTTAATTTTCTTTGATTAAAATGATATGTACCGTGGCATTGATAACAATGTTTTTCTTATGTAGACAGACCCCTGGGGAATGGCTCTCCCAAATGGTGGCTCAGAAACTCCTAAACAGGTACTGTGTCACAACACTAGCTGTTGCTTGAGTAGGTGATACACTACTCATACTACTCTAATAGCTTAGTTTTAGTGAGTTGGTCATTTATTCGGAAGAATAAAATACTGTGAGGTTTTCAGTCAGTTTTAATGTATATACATTTAATAAGTTATAAATTTACGCAACTTGAAAACCCTTTTCTTTTCTATAACAGAAGCCCACAGTTTGAGGTGAGAAATTCAGTACAATCCAAGCCAAACTATTTCTGAGAAGTTTGAAGGAAATGATGCATGTTTTAGAGACGTAGGTGTGTGACCTTCCTAGCAGTGAGGCTTCACTTGGATTCCATTTATTAGATTGATATACAGTCTCAGATGTAACATTCAGTTAATGTTTACATTATCTGCACTGTCCTTTTAACTTGTTCTTTTAGTGTCTTAATTGTTGTAAACAAATTTTGGGCAACTTGATTACAGTACTGTACATTTTTTAACTACTAAAAAATAACCCAGTGGGAATTGTTTTTTGTAGTCATGTACAATATTGGTAATGATATAACTTAAAACTACCATTATGTTTTCTAAAACTGGCCATTCGAATTGGCACTATGGTGTGTATATATGGCCAAAACAAAATTTTCTATGGGGGGGGGGATGATGACTGTGTGTTATATTAAGATGAAAGAATGATAGGGTTATTGTCTCTTTTATATAAATGGCAAATAAATATATTGTAGTTAACATTCCCATACTTGATGGCCTTATCAAAACCTTTTGCAGCATTTCAGGTGATCTTCGAACAACTATTTGCCTTCAGAATATTTATTAAACAAGTAATTGAGTTGTAGTATATATTTCACAAGTTTGCCATGCCCACAGCCTGATCCATGGGGTTCTCCAGCATCAGGCCCTCCTTCACGTGTCACATCTCCACCAACTACAAGTGATCCTTGGGGTCCTCCACCTGCCAGATCACCCGAACCACCAATGGGAGGTAGGTTTATACCGAGTTCAGTCTTTCCATTGGTGGGTGGAGAGCATGGGGTGGGATTGGCGAGATAGAATGTATTCCAAACTGCTTATCTGTGCTATGGGATGTAAGATATAGCTCTTAGGTCCTGATTTTTAACACTGCATATGGTTAAGTACAGTATATGTAAAAAAAAAAATTGTGCATCTCTATTGTACATCTTCAGTTTCTTAGAAATAAATTGGTTTCATACTGTAATGGTTCTATTATAAATGTTTACTCAAAGGAGCTGTGTGTAATTTTTAAGTTTATTACATAGTATCATGATCCCATGTTTTAAGTACTGTATCAAGAACAGTATTGTTGGTGATTTTCAGGAATATGTGGAAATGATCCTTGGGCAGTGCTAGGCATCATACCACCTGCTAAAAGCTCCACGCCTCCAGTTGTTGGCACCAACGACCCCTGGGATCCAGTACCCGCAAAGCCACAAACTAAAGATCCCTTTGCACCAATTTCACCTACAAACAACGGAGATGTGGATGAGTTCTCAGCTTTGTCAATAAGGGATAAACCAGCTAATAGTAAGACTTATATTTCCTATCAAATTTGAAGATGTAAATTGATATTTTACTTTCAGGATGACTTGTCAAATATTTGAGTATAATAAATATATATACTATATATAAATATATATATATAAATAAATATAAGTATGTATATATATATATATATATATATATATATATATATATATATATATATATATATATATGCGAACAAGCCTGAATGGTCCCCAGGACAATATGCAACTGAAGTTTGTTGAGTTTTCAGTTATATATATATATATATATATATATATATATATATATATATATATATATATATATATATATATATATATATATATATATATATATATATATATATATATATATATACACACACAGTATATATAATAAAATATGCATGCATGCAACAATGATAACAAAAACACTGATTCAAGTATGCGGAAAAACTACACGTTAAAAATAGAGAATGCTAAACGCGCTTTCAGCTCAATTCACTTTCATCAGAGCAAAATGGAATGAGGGAGGAAACATGGTAGGCAGACTTTACATCCGCCAGGGTAGGTCACCTGACCACCAAGATAGGGGATGAAACCTACGAATAAAAAAGAGATGAAATAGGCGAAGGAAAGGGGCAAATAAGGTTAACTGTACAAAACAAAAATACCTGTACTGGATAATATATATAAGTGCTGCCGGATGGAAATAAATAATAAATAAATGAACACAGGTTAAATGGGTGCTATATTGACATGCTATATTGAAGCTTATATGGGGTATCTAATTTGTACATGCTAGGGCTTACATTAAGGCTGTTGTTACATTGTTCAGAGTGGACTCAATCACTTTCCGTTCAATGAAACCCTTACTTTTAACAATACATTTCACCCCTCAAAAGTTGATAGAATGATCACATAATCTGGAATGTAAATACAAAGCACTGAGGTGCTGGGATGTACGAATAGCATATGAATGTTTTCACATTTAAAACAACATATGCTATTCATACAGCCTTCCCGGCCAAGATACGAACCCAGGCCAAAGCGCTCACGAAGTGCTGGCTGAGTGCCTTACCACTATGCCACGGGGGACTGCAATACTGTATATATGAATATATAAACTGCACTATATATATATATATATATATATATATATATATAAAATATATATAAACAAACTATTGAGATACTGGATTAAACAGCAACATTAGCAAATTTGTAAGCGATACAAAAATAGGGCATAAAATATATTCAGTAGACTCATAATTGCTATAAGCTAAGGTTATACATATATTTGAGTGAGTTTTATTTGTTATAAATAGCAGCAACCTTGCAGGGAATAATGGGTCTTCTAGTAGTGAGTGTAGACTGTAATGAGTGGGTTTATTTGCTGACTCTAGAATTGTTATTATAGATTGATCTAAGATAGAAAATCATATACAATACCTTCCAGCATTTGACCATGTGTTTTTGTGACCCAATTGGGTTTTGCATTAGGCTGGTGGTGAATATGGCTGTACTACAGAAAATATCTTTTAAAAATTAGAAACTAACACTTCTCATTCAGTAGTGATTTCAACTGACAGTCACTAGATTGCTGACTTGATAAGGCACTCCGTTGTAAGGTAATGAGGGAAAAGTACAACAGTACAAATAATCTCTTAGTTAATTTTTTTACTTTCCAATTTGTTCTTGATTAAAGTTTTTACAAATACCTAGTAATGGTTAATTGTTGCCTTCTTGTCTAGATCACTTGCCAGAGTTTTACCTAGTTCATTTGGCTATTTTTATTTCACACTTTCAGTAGCATAGAAATATTTTTCTTAATGTACTATACTGAAGTGTATATTCCAGAAGTAAAGTTGTTTTCACATAGAAAATCTTTTGACAGACGGTGTCTCAGATGCTTTTGATTTAAGTGGGCTGGGTTCGGCTATTCCTGACAATAACAGAGTTCCTCCACCAAAATCAAAGTCTCCAGCAGCCTTCTTGGGAGAGAACTCCAACCTTGTTAATTTGGACAACCTTGTCTCTGCCAAGCAATTGCCTGCTAGCTTAGGTGAGTATAATTATTATTGAAGATGCAGAATGCATTAGTGTTCATGCTTAACACACTAAGAGCTTTGGTGTATTTCTTGTGATTGTGGGAAGGCTTTGGTATGTATCATAGCAATATATATAAAAATATCGAGCTTTTATCATGCCTTATTCCCCCCTAGTTATATATATATATATATATATATATATATATATATATATATATATATATATATATATATATATATATATATATATATATATATATATATATATATATATATATATATATATATATATATATATATATATATATATATTGCTATGGTATTTATATTAAGGTAATTCACATTGTTTAATATTGTGTTCTTTGGAATTATTTAGTAACTAGCTTCAATTACTAAAACTTACTAATTGGACAATATATTTTGCCTTTACATCTTTGTGGTTATATATAATTTATTGAAATATGTAAACAAAAATGCATACATAATTTAGTGAATTATGTAAACAAAAAGTTAGCATAATTTAGTGAATTATGTAAACACAAAGTTAACGTAATTTAGTGAATTATGTAAACAAAAATGTTTAACATTTATGACAATCTCAAAATATACAGCAAGTCTGCATCTACAATTGTGATAGACCCATTCTGTTCCATTTACAAGGGCAGAGAGGTAGCCCAGGAACACAAAATTATTGAAGAAAACTTTTGTAACAAAAATTCACATCTTTTTCAGTCTTGTCCTAAATTCAGTACCAATAACTTGACGAGTGTGTTGAAGTAATTCCATAAAATGTTAATAAATGTTCGGTAATAACTGCCTTTATTGAGAACATCTCATTCCATCTTGTGGATTAGTTAGTGGACAGATTTAACTATTTCGTTAATAGTGAACGACCTAAGCAAAATATGGCCAGTATTACACAATAATCGGTGGTGTGGCTAGCGTATAAATATCTAGCAAGAAACATGAGAAGGGTCTACAGCATACAAGTATGTTAAAATAGAGTCTGTAGAATATAAAAACATTTTTATGAGATAGACAATAACAAGATATAACAAGACAAAAGATAAGAAATATACAAATGTTTTGTATCATAACATTATTAATGATGTATCAGAATAGGAAAACTTAATAAATAATGATGACATATGGAAGTAGTGATAACAGAAGCATAAGCGTACAGTATAATTACAGTTTAGTATACTGTATTATTGTGTACAATTTAAAATACAATATAAAACTTTGAAATAAAATGAGGTTTTTAAAATTTAGGTGGTAAATCAATATTTTGCATTATGATACAGAAAAAGCTTGTATTCAAATAAGATGCTGTTACATTGTTAATTTTAAATTAATTGCAGATAAAGGTACATAATTCATAGCATAAAAATTCATGTGAACAAGTGTTTGAACGTGAACTTGAACATTATCATGTCTACTTTATTGCTTGGAACATTTAAGTACATTATTATTGTGCAGAAAAAATATGTATGAAGTGAAAGAGCAATTGCAGAAGGGATGGCGATACATAACGGCTCTTAAAAACATTTATGTATCAGATAAATATATGCATGTACATACACCTTTATCTTCTTCTCTGAGGCTGTGGGCCTTTTCAGTACATAAATATGTATAATGTATACTGTATATATTAAATAAAGTATTGTAAATCAACAATAGTGTAAGAATAACTTTTCATTTATGTGTCCAGTGATGTGTCAGCCAACACACACCAGGCACGTGCTCTTATTAAAAAAAAAATTCAAAATTCAAATTCAAATGTTTATTCAGGTAAAGTACATACATACAAGGGGTGATACAAATATTGATGAATTTATAGATAGAGCTAGTACATACAATGCCTAAAGCCACTATTATGAAAAGCGTTTCAGTTTATCACAGTACTACAGTGACCATTTAAGGGAGGAGGGGGACTGTGGCGCTCTACTTGCTGATTCCTCATTTTTACACTTCTCAGACACCAGAAATAGGAAGTAATATTCTGCCGCCTAGGCATAGGTCATATAAATGGCAGGCCATAATATATGCGTGTATTTTGGCTCGGAATTCGAGTCAAATGATTGCATGGTTTTGGTTCACTGAAAATCTTTTATGTTTTCCATGTGTAATCAGTAGCATACAGTATTTCTGAAATGGTAACCTTTGTATTGCATCCAGCTACTCCAGTAGATTGAGTTCCAATAAAGTGAGAGTCCACTGTATGTATGGATCTATAATGTGTATATGTGCACACATGCACATCTGGCATTCACCAGTAAAGAGGGCAAAATCTTTGACCTTCAGTACCTGTCTTCATCAGGTAAAAGTGATCATGGCCTCTTAATAAAATTTGTCAATTTAGTACGACTTGAACGAGACTGGTGAGAACGGGATAAATCAAGAGGAACTACTTTAACAGGGATCATCACAGTGATCTAAGCAAGTTCCTTAAGAAATTTGATTGAGTTGGTTTGTTTAAAGGTGATGATAATGAGATTTATGGAATTTTTTTAGTATTTATAACAAAGATGCCAAAAAATTAAAACCAAATCAAAGGCACAGAACTGGAAAACAAAATAAAACAAGATGTTATCAAATTGCAAAAGGGCCAGACTAAAAAAAAAAAAATAATATAGGCAGTGGCCTAACCCCCACACGTTAGCAATATATATATTATATATAAGCACAAAACAACTATACAGTACAAATAGTGAGAAGAAAGAGGAAAGACATTTTAAATGAAGGGCCAGGAAAGAAATGCAAAATGGAACCCAGCCTACACTTTAAATTTACTTAAATAAATTGTTCGAGAAGAATGAAATCCAGAGATTAACAGTGGGTAACAGATTAAGAGAGCATAAGCTGGCGCGTATTTTGCAAAATGACTTGTTGCGTACTTTTGAATATAACCTAGAGCACCAAGATGTTGACCTAGAGAAAACCACTATGAGATATATGGGAGAGGGTGAAAATTATCACAGTAACAAAGATGCGCTATAGACTTGTATTATTGACAAGTGTGGTAGTCAGCATATCAGAGAAAGTAAATAAAATTAAATGGTTAGAAGATCTTGAAAGAATGATGTATTGGACAGTCAGAATGGTTTTGGAATGGGAAAGTCCTGCATAAAAATGTTGTTAACTTTTTATGATAGTGCCATACAGATCATATGAAGAGAGACTGTTGAACAAAGTTCATCCATCTGGACCTACAAATAATGTTAATGGGGTTTCAAAAACCTAATTGCCAACTTTGTCAGTTGCTGTCACTATTTTGCATGTAGTTGTCATGCTCTGTCTATTTCAACTCTACTTGTTTTGTTGTAATGAACGTCTGGCCTCTCTTTCATCATTCTAGTGTTTTAGGTCCAGGTGCATTTATTCGACAGTACCATTCAACTGAAGCAGTTGCCACTTTATCTTAATGATTAAAGTTATGTCAAAAATCAGCCTTAGGCATCACTTGAATGGGAGAAACAGAAATGCCAAAGAGCAGTTTTTTCCAAAGGCAAAGTAATATTGTTGGGGTGTGTGGGTAGGGGTTGAACGATAGGGATTGCTTGCAGTACTGCAATGAGAGTGATGTTGGGTGTATAAACTGAGTAATGCAGATTACAATTATATATAACTCAGCTTGATATATAGGCTAAGTATTTAAAGATTGTCACCTTGCTGAATCTGGTTTTATTTTATTGTGGGGAAAACTTAATAATTGTATTGTATTCTTTTAAACTTGTAAATGCTTGCTTTGGGTTTTGTGGAATACAGTATATGAATGGATTATCATGCATTGACCCTTTTGGTAGTAAGAAATTAAACAAAAGTCACCTCACTTTTTTATTGGGGGTTTCCATTCAAAAAGAGAACTTCATGAATATTTGTAATGCAGGCATTTTATACAGGAAATATCCCTATAAATTCTTATTCTCAAGCTGTACAAAACATTTGGAATTCTCCAGGTTCCTACATAAAACCCAGTTAATTGCCTGGAATCTGCTGTGATAGTTATATTGTTTCCTCACAAGATAAGGTTCTTAGTTACTGGTTAATTTTTATTAAGCTTATAGTTCACGATTCTCCTAATGTTCGATCTAGAACAGTTTTGTACAGTTGTGACTGCGAGAGTAGAAACGCTAGGAATAAGCCCTCGATAAATGTGCCAACATTGTATTTTCTGGAATTCATGGTGGTGTGTTGTTTAAACTTGCATGTTAAAAATGCACCAAGTAGTGTTGCAGTATTTTTCGGAAGTGCTCTTATCAATGGTTCAACCGGAGCAATTTCTATTTCTGCAACTGAAAGGGTTACTGTATTTCTATTACTAAAATGACATAGGGCATTGATTTCAAAGTAATTCTTTCACCTCCATTTGACATTTGCATTCTCTTTGTGTAACATGTTTGATGAAATTAGGTATGTCTAATGAATGAAATACTCACTTTCGTTTGGTTTAAGCTATGAAGTGTAAATGTGCACTTGAATGTCTTGTATGGTACTAACTGCTTCCAGACTTTACAGGCTGTAGGCTCAACAGGCTGCAGATATGAGCTTCTTCATTGCTATTGGACTGTTGGACGTGGGCCTTAACAACAATTTATTGCTTTACCCTTGGTCTTGTGGTATCCTTTGCTTCTGATATAAAATAGAATTTTAGAAAGCAGTACAGTAGTGTGTATTTAGTGGATTCTGCTCTCAATATACAGTACTTGAAATTGTAATTTGGTTACAATTGCCAATTGTAATTATAGAAATCTTGTATTTGATATCAAAGTCAGATTTATAGCACATACACTAATATATTGTTTCAATACTGTAATAAATGAAACTACTGGTAATGCATTCTAATGTTTCATGTGTTTCATCCTAATGTTTCTTGAATCATCTGCTCTTTCCACATAGTGAAAGTTTCATCTGCTATAATCAGACCAAACCCTCACCAGATTGCTGTTAAGTCATTATTAAAACATCTGTCGAGTCTTTCACTAGCTCTAACTGTAAAGTTTTACACTAATGCGTATTACACGTGAACTGAATAATCTTAATACAGTATATACTTTTAGGAGCATTTTGTGTATAAATTATTACAGTACATCTCATTGTCTAATCTAATGGTTAATGGTTAATTAAAATAAAACTATAGGAATATTAATTTGATAAATCATCCGGATATACATAATTGTATAATGTATTTAAAGTATCATTAACTTGTATAAATTCTCTATGTACTAAATCTTTAAGTAGAACGACAAAACTTTCAATAATATATTTGAACTAGTGTATTCAATGTGGGCCAGTGCTGTATCCTTTATATGGCTTAGTAACAAGACGTTACAAAGGAATTTTATCATATCTCTGTATTCCTATGTTTATTATCTATTCAAATACATGAAGAAGCTGCTTTATTAGGCACAAATCATTAGATTTGGTAATGAAATGCTTTGTACAGTTGCAATGTTGTGGGCTGATTACCAACTTTCTACAATTTCTAGTTTTGGGTTAATACCAGTGTACAACAAAGCTCTCTTTCTTGTATTGCTTCCTGAAACACTTCCCAAGGCATTTTTCAAGGGACTGTATTTTTTTGTATTACGACAATTTCATAAGCTGCAAACTGGAGGCAAACTACACCAATCAAAACAAACTCCCTGCTACCCCTCGCACAGTCTATTGATGAATGTATTTGTAACCGGTAGTTACGTAAAGTCAGTATACCAGTTAATCCACATTTCCTGTTGCTGAAACACCAGATACATGTTCCACTCTATTTTGAACTCCTATTATTAATTACAGTATAGTATTCAGTAAAGTTCTTGACAGTAATCATTCTTATATTTATTTTGGCACCTAATTAAAACAAAAATTCTTGTAATGGTAATAATTAGTAATAGGAGTTTTGTGATCTACCTCTTCCTGAGGACAGATTATCCTGAAGAGATCTTTGCACTGTGCACAAATGACATTTGGCCTAATTGTTGTCATTCAGAATACAAGTCTAGTCTTCCAAAAGCCTTAATGTTGATCATGCTTGTAATTAGTTTCCTGCTGATTAAGGAATCAGCCAGTTGAGTACAAGGTCTAGAAGAAGTGAATTTATATCACAATTCAGTTCCTTGAATTGTAAACAGTACAGTGGAGTAAAAAAAAAAAAGTTTGCTTATTTGTTTTTCAGGCTGGATAAAAGTTCAGTTAGAGCAGTGCTTATGCACTAATGGCTGTCTGTGATGAGTTATCCTGTCACCTTTTAATGGTTATATATTTCACTTATGTGTTGAGTGCAGCTCTGCTTACTAATTTGCCACACATCCAATCAGTTACTTATTTCAAGATAATTGGTAATACTTGTACTATATATTCTTGTATAATTTTTTTCCTATTTTTTGGATCCCCCAAATTTTTGTTAGCGCAAATGATAAAATATGTATTTGCATACATTTTGATGGCACAATCACATTAATTAGAAATCCGAGTGCTGCAAAATTTATTACTTTCAACAAGGAAAACATGCTGAGGTTGGATATTATGGAAATGAAAAATTCTGCTCTGGACTCTTGCATTTCGACGGAAATATATTAAGATCATTGTTATGAGTAGATATCATTAAGAAAATTACAAAATAACAATTAAATTATTACAGTAATATATAGGGTATATTTTGATTGTGTATTGTATTTATATTTTTGTGGGGGGCCTGTCTACTGGATTTTCCTTGGGTAGCATGGCTTGTGCATTGTTTTAGGGCCATAAGTGGGGCTTGTTTTCCCCTCCACCCTACTGGGTTTTTGGGCGACTACATGTACTAGCAGTTCTAGGACTACCATGTGGGTCATCCATTGTAGGAAGCACAGTGTGGATAGAATGGGCGACCATAGTGGGGAAAAGGGGTCATTTGAACCAGGGTGGGCAAACTCTCGGTTTAATTGTCAAGAAAGGAAGCTGGGCTCGGTATAAGGTACTCCATCTGCTTTGCTCTTGATCCTTCATCTTGATGCTGTGCATCATAATGGCTTGCACATGATCTCTGGGACCTTTTGTCCTATGCCAGCCCAGAGTTTGTATGTGGAAATCAGTATTTCATCGTTACAAGATGGCTGTAATCGCTATTGGCTCTGATGCTTCATGCAGGTCCTTCATAATGCACATTCATGCTTATGCTTCATTTGACTGATGTCATCTTCCCATTGAGAGCCTTGTACACATTTTATTTTACTAGAAGTAATGCTCACTTATAGGAGCTACTGTTTGCATGTCTGCAATGTGTTCTCTCATATTTTGCCTACATCACCCCTTTGGCAAATCCTGTTTGTAAAAGTTTGCCAAGCCTTATGCTGTACAATGAAAGCTTATACACTATTCCCATTTTCCCCTTTTCCCTACTATCCTGAAATATTTTTTCTTGACTACAGTACTTCCCTTGCCATTCATGTACTGTTGATCTTTTTATGGCAGAGTCAGAATCTGCTGGCTGTGTTGGCTTTGCCATTATTTTTCTGATAAAATTAAATTTTTTGTAAAGTATTTATGCTGTAGAGAATTGTAATATTTCATGCTTAAAGACCATTACTTTTCATGTGCCAAAGTTTGTTATTGTATTATCATTGAGATAATTTTTCGTGGTCCTTGAATCATTTAACCACAGTAAGTGAGATAGAGTACAACATTAACTGTGGCTTATCTCTAACAGATTTTACTCATTCTAGTTTTATTGGGTTCCCAGCCATATCTGTGATGCCTTTAACGATCTCGCAGATGCCCGTCCCATCTCTCAGAAATGAGTTCCTTGCTCAGATATTTGCATTATCATTCATACTGCAATCTGCCACAGTTGGAGAGAGATGAGCTGTTCCAAATAACAAATGATGTATTATTAATTAATTGTAACTCAAGTCTGTGGCCTTCCTTTCGCCAAAACAGGACGTGGGGAAACTACTCTGGCTAGGTCACGTATTGATCCAACATGATACTTGTGGGCACAAAATGTTATTGTTCTGGTAGCAATTGCATACCTCCACATAGAATGTCTTGATTTTTAGGATGAGCATAAATTTTGGTTTTCCACTGTTCCTCGAGTCGTACATCCCTTGATAAAATCTTTGGTGAAATCCTTGGTGAAATTTATCCCCCATTGACATCACTTGTCTTATTTCTGTCTGCTCTTGCATTGACATCCTTACTAATATCTAGGAACCTTTAACTGTTCTAGCTTGGCATCTTCTTTTGATTACTTATTACTACTACCATATAATCATTACAACTATGAAATATGCTAACATGTTTATACAGTAACATACTTGATAGCTATCTTAATTTTTATATTCCCTCACCCCTCCACATCCCTATTTTTTTATTTTGCTAGTTCATCTTGTTGAAGGCCCTAACTTTGGTTTTAGATAGGATACAAACTCATTGTTCAGGATCTTTCATTATTATTATTTTACTATTTCCCATTTTCCATAAGAAAGGGTAGCTTTAACCCAGAATAAAATTAGTTGTAGTAGTAGTATAGAGAGAATACTTAAAATATATAAACTTGTTTATATATTTTGTTTACACTTTTACTTAACATATACAATATTACACACTATACGGCATTACTGAAAACCAGCATCACCATACTCCAGATGTCATCCACAGCACTTGGTCCTTCCCCCTTTCAACTGCTTTTTAAGACGTGATATTGTGGCTCTGCTCGAAAACGCTCTTATGGATGACGTGTAGTAGACATAGGACATGATGTGGACCAGGCATGTCAAACATGCAGCCAAGCACAGGCCTGCACGATGGATACTGTAATTTGATCATATGCTTTTTCTTTTGGTAAACTACTTCATTACTTTGCATTCATGAATGTGGCTAGCTTCTAAACCATTTGTATGCACATTGTATGTTTCTAAGTTTAAGTAATACAAATATTATGCAATAATTGTAATTAAATGACTTCAATTAGTAGTCATGTGTGGCCCTCACGACTGCACAAATATGACCCATATAGCCCTCGGGGGACCCTCAGTAGGCTACATCTGCAGAAAACTGGAAACATTCTGGCGAGGCAAACATTTTGCCTGGCTTTGTTATCAGATATGTAGTTTTGAAAAGGATAAGTAGGGGCTAATGTGTGGTTTCCATTTTAAAGCATAAATTTTTAAAGTGATTTTGTTACCAAATTTGTGCTAAAGAATGTTCTATAGTTTGCACTAATAAACATTGTTGTGGCCATCAAATAGTAAAAAGTAGTGAAGGTCACCATTTTTGCTGAAATATAGCTAAGGTTAGATGGGGTAGTGTATGACTCGGTTAGTTTGAGCAGAGTTGCACGCCACTATGGCTTTCATGAGTTGTCATAAATAGTGCACGGCCTTTTCATGTGACATGCACAGTTCTCAATCCCTACAGCCTCATACACAATGTCTGCCCATTTTGTCAACTTCCCTAGCCTCCTATTCTTTTCCTCAAATGCTTTCTCATCACTAACCTCTCATTATACATAATTATTTCAGCTCGGCTGCACTCAGTCTTGCAATTCACTGGCTTTTTCACATCACAACTTAACATTGTTATTCCTTTTCTAGTCTTTTTATAATGCACATGTTTTTCAGAAAATCCATTTCCACTGCAGGAATTTCTTATTTTTCATATTTATGTAATAGCCTCTTGCTTCTTTAAGTGTGATACGGTACTATCACACTTTAATGCAGCCCTCAGTTGCATCTTTTCCCATTTATTTTGATTTTGAAAGAACAGTAAGGTTTCATTGCACTATAGTAACAACTTTCCTTCCCAGACTCGCTTTACTTTCAGCTCTGTTGCACACTTTCCTTTTTATGCTAATGCCACAACCAAGGTCTTAAAACTAATTCAGCCATGTCTAGTACTTCTTCATGAACACAATTGCCTTCTTTCTCCAACACCATAACTACTTTTGAACATATTTACTTGATAATGGTTCAGGACGGACAAACTTTGTCATTTCTTCGTTTTCTGATGTGTGGTCTGGTGGTCATACTTTCAACAGTTTTTTCTCGGATCAATGAAGCATCCAACTATTGTACACTATTCTATATTCTTTGCTAAAAGAACTGCTTCACCTTCATAAATCAGATTTCATGCAAACCATTTGCTTCCTCAAACAGAAGTTTCACATCTTTCTCTTAAGCTCTTGCCTGCACTGACCCCATCCATATTTTCAGTACCATAGATTAAGTAAACACAGAGACATCACACAACCTTGGCTTAAATTTAAACATTACTTTTATTTCACAGCAAAATCCACCTCCTCTATTACTGACAAGTTTCTCCATTTTATATCATACTCTTCCAATCAAGATGATGACAAAGTTTACTCACAATACATGGTAGAACAATGCCTCTTTAATTCTTAAGCGCACTATGTTTTCCCTGATTAGGTAGCTGCTGTAGGGATACCTTATCTTTTTTTTTAATATAGATATGTAATTAATTTTTTTTAATATGTGGTTAAAGTTGCAGTATTTGTGATATCTAGAGAATGCTATTGCGTATCATCATGAACATTTTAAGTCTTATGCATGGTACTATACTGTGAAAAGGTCGCTATTGGTGTTGGACCTTATAGCCCCCTGGTGTTGCAAACTAGTGTCATGCTGCTGTTGTAGCGTGTCTAATATGTTACACTGGGTTGCAGGGCCAATGAGCTACACTGAGATGCAACCCAGTAGCCAGATTTCAAGGGCGAGTAATGTCCAAATATGGGCACCACTTCACCTAAATGATGAATAATTCTCGACTCAATGTCACAGTATATTCTCCTATCCAAGCATATTCAAACATTACCAAATGGCTGGAACACACCTTTAATTGGAATATAAGGAAGGTAACTAACACTCAATGTCATTTTCTATTTAATTAAAAAGTAATGTATAATTACATGTAACACTAAATGATACACAACTCTACACTCACCCTGTACCAGTATATCCTCAATCTGTTGGCTGTGCCTGTCCTTAAATCACACCTAACATGTATTATGCAATACCAATTCCTCTCATTAATTCATCTTACTCTACTAACCAGTGTTTGTTTCCTGGTTAGTCATTCTCGCACTGTTTTCTAGCTTACCAACACAGGGTTGAGGATACGCTTTAACTGCCAGTCATTTACGTGAATGTAATCTTCCCAAATTCTGAGTGGAAGAGGGAGTTTTCTGTGCATATGCCAAGCACAAAGGCTGCCTCTATGAAATATCATATCCAAGTTATATTAACTTTCAAAACTACTCTAAATTGAAGATACATGTAGTATTTGTTGCCCCCCAAAATATAGCTTTCATTACCTAATAATTTCCCCTTAAGAGTTTCGTGTTTTAGTGGCACAACACAATTAACCCATACATTGGTCCAATTACTGTTCTTGAGACCGATTGATCCACATGCTCCAATTGCCTGGAGATGATTTAGGTTTCCAATTTTATTCAAAACCTCCACCTGTTCTAAGGGGGCTGTCATTTGACACTAGAGACCTGTTGATCGTTTGCATATTTGGAAAAATCCTGAGTCCCTAAGTCTCCCTACCATGTCTGGCATATCACCAGCCAATGATTGAATGCATAGAGTGCCATGCTAGGAACCATTGAACTTTTAATAATAGCAAATCGGTGATATCCATGCATATATATTTGCATGCAAAATGTGTGCTATATGCAATTATAAGATTAAGGGTGTGTGTGTGTGTGTGTATGTATGTGTAATTACCCAAGTGTAATTACAGGATGAGAGCTATGCTCAGTGTCCCATCTTCCCAGTACACCGTCATATAACGCTTTGAAACTACTGACGGTTTTTGTCTCCTCCACATTCTCGCCTAACTTGTTCCATCCGTCTACCACTCTGTTTGCAAAAGAAAACTTTCTAACTTTTTTTTGGCACCTTTGTTTCCTTAGCTTGAATCTGTGTCCTCTTGTTTTTAAAGTTCCTAGTTTCAAGAATTCCTCTTTGTCAATTTGGTCAATTCCTGTTATTATTTTGTAAGTAATTATATTACCTCTTTTTTTTCTTCTATCTTCTAGTTTTGGCGTATTTAATGCTTCTAGCCACTCCTCGTAACTTGTTTTCAGTTCTGGAAGCCATTTTGTAGCATGCCTTTGCACCTTTTCCAGTTTATTAATGTACTTCTTGAAATTTGGGCTGCATATTCCAATTTTGGTCTCATAAAAGTCATGAACAGTTTCTTTAGTATTTCACCATCCATGTAATTAAAAACCAAGTCTAAAGTTGGAAAGTGACTCATACTGTACGCTCTTCTCATAATGTTCTGTGTGTGTTCCACTGGTGACAGTTTACTATCCAAATCCACCCCTGAATCTTGTTCTTTATTAGTTCTTTAATTCCTTTCCACATTCAGTAATTTGTAAGTTGTGTGTGGTCTATTTTCTCCGATTCCACATTCCATAACGTGGCATTTATTCACATTTAATTCTATTTGCCATATGTCGCTCCAAGCCCTTACTTTATCTAGATCAATTTGAAGGGCATGACAATCGTCTGCGCCTTTTATCTTCCCCAGTATCTTAGCATCATCTGCAAACATGCTCATATAATTCTGTATTCCTTCTGGTAGATCGTTTATGTACTGTAGATGATGAACATTACTGGTGCAAGAACTGAACCCTGTGGTACTCTGCTAGTAACACTCCTCTAGTCAGATACAAAGCTTCTGATTATTGCCCTCATATGTCTATCAGAAAAATTTTCATTTATGTCAGAAGTCTCCCTGTCACCCCTCGAGCATGTTCCAGTTTTCAAAACAACCTCTTGTGTGGGACTCTGTCAAAAGTCTTTTTTAAGTCCAGATAAAGTCAACTCAACCATCGCTTTCCTGTAAAATCTCTGTGGCTCTTGTCATAAAACTAAGAGATTTTTTACGCAGTTTCTTCCTGTTTGAAAACTATACTGTCTATTCCTTATTATGTCATTACTCTCTTGGTATTCAACCCATTTGGCTTTAACTATTGTTTCTAGTGTGTTGACTACAGTACCACACTTGTTAATGATATGGGTCTATAATTTAGAGGGGTCTTTTTGGCTACCATTTTTATAGATTGGAACTATGCGTTTTTCATGTATCTGCTAAGATTTCAATGCACAAGGATGTTTGAAATATTAATTAGAGTGGAATGCTCAGGTCGGTTGCACATTCTCATAGCACCCAGGGTGAAACTCCATCTGGTCCACCTGCTTTATTTCTTCTTAGCCCTTCGAGTAATTTTTCGACTTCGTCTTGAGATACCTCTATGTATTCCATGATGTGCTCTGGAATTGGCATTGAGTCTGGCTCTTTGAAATCCTCATTTTGTACAAACACACTTTTGGAACTGTTCATTTAGCATTTCACAAATTACTTTTTCATTCTCAGTAAACCTTTTCCCTATTTTCAATCTCTGGATTTTATCCTTTACATGTAGCTTGCTTCTAATGAATTTATAGAAAAGGCCTGGAAATGTTTTACATTTGTCTGCTACCCCTTTCTCAACGTTAAGTTGAGAAATGACATTTCTCAACGTCGTACCATTTATGCCTCTCATCTCACTGCTGTGTATTTGTTTCTTGCTTGCTTGTAATGCTGGTATGTTTGAGGGTTTGGCCTCTGCCTATATTGTACCCATTTCCTTGTCTTTTCTTCTCTGGCACTCACACAATTTCTGTTGAACCAATCCTGTTTTTAGGTTCTGCATCTCTGTTATGGTATGTATGTTTGTGTGCATTCATCATATAGTTCACAAAACTTGGCATACATCTCATTTACTTCCTTGCCTATTAAGAGGTCTGTCCAATTAAATTCATGAAAGAATTTGCCATCATGAAAGAATGTGTGTGTGTGTACACTGTATATATTGTTGGTTTACTTTTTTATGAATAAATACAAGGTATGCATATACATGTATTGGGTATACATGCCTATATTTCGAAAGTTATGCATAATGAATACAGTACTGTACCGCTATTGACACATCAGTACAGCATGTGATGTGAGCATGAAAATATTTTAGTAAATACGGTGTGAAACTATGAAAATAAATGAAGAACATTATTCCCTTCTGGCACCTCGCTTAAGTTCATGTAACTTCTCCAGGCCATGACAGCTAAACCATGATAGGTAGAGAGTTATTAAAAGGATTTTCGGTCTACTGGAATTTGTCTTTTCTTGTGCTTCAAAGAGAGTGCAACAACGTAGCCCAGTGCAGTCAGGGGTTCAACATGTCTTTATGACTCCCAGCATTACTATCATTAATGCAAAATGATTTTGATATGGTATTCTATATTACATTGATTAAAACATTGTATAGCAAGATTTTATTTTGAGGGAGAAGAGTTTCACTCGGTCAGACTTGAATACAGTATTGACTTGATACACAATACAGACTTGATACAATATATAGTATTGACATCCTTAAAAATTTGTTTTCTGTGGGGAGCCCCGTCAGCTCCCTGGAACTATTGGACTGATATGCGATTTATTAGTCTGGGGCATCAATTAATTGGAGTTCAGCCTACCGGAACCACGAGCCAGAACCTGGCCCCCTCAGAGAGGCATGGGAGCAATGGCGTATGGAAACCTCCATGTGGTTGGGGCATTCCATGTCTGCCATTGACCAGGGTTAGGCACCCAGAAAGGTAGGCATAACAAAACAAACCCCACTTGGTAAGAAAATTGTTACCAAAAACTAAATAGAGAGGCAGAACTTCCCCAACACCCAAGGAAACAAGGAAATGTCATACACTGCTGCAGCACCTCTTGTTCGTGCAACCCTCCCCTTCCTGGGAGGGGGAGGGGGAAGCCCTGGACCCCATTACGCTAGCTACTCACACCTCTAATACGTTGGCTGATGCGATCTGGGGCAGTCATCAACTCTGAACTCGATTTCTTGGCAGTGTTTTGCCTTGGCGGTATTCTCTGCTGTTTTGTGGTACAGTGACCAAGTGTAACTTCAGTGTACTGGGGCTGCATGTGCTTAAGGCTACCTTCCTTAAGTGCTCTGTAAGTACTACCCTTGGGTGTTAGGGTTACCTGCCATAGTACCTTCGGGATCCCACTTGCATAGGGATTCTTGCTGCTCGGTGTTTACCTTGCCCTAGGGGCCAGCTGGGGTTTCATGGCCTTTGTTTGACCTTGGGCAGGAAGTGGTATTGTTGCTGGAAAGGGGGGGGGGCCAGGTTCCTGCACAGCTTGCCTAGCAACGCAGCGGCCGTATTTCTGTTTCTTCTGGTAACGTGATACTTTTGCAGGATTTTTCTTTTATTTTTATTTTCCTTGCCTGGAGGGGGGTCTGCCTTGTTTGGCTATTGGTCCAGTTAAGGTACAGTATTTTGGTGGCCGTCCTCTAGGCCCCCGTGATTGTACATGTCGCAGGGGTTCAGTTTTAGCTCATCCCCCTTTGTTAGTTCTTGGGTTTAACCGGCTTTGAAGCACCTTGCCTGGGCTTCCCGTAGCAGTCAGCCTGCGGGCCCTGGAAAACCCTGTTAGGGCTCAGTAGACTGATGGATGCATCTTCTGAGTTCCAGCTCGCCTTGTGTGAGTTTGAAGGTTGCTCTGTGCCCTTGTCTCAGGGTGACAGTCACCTTTTTTACCTTCGTCATGCTGCCTGTTGGGTCAACGACACCTTTGACCTGGAGT